AGAGCAGCCACCAGGGTCACGAAAACCGGTCTTCCCCTCTGTAAGGACGCCAGAGTTTTAGTCTGGGATCCGAGGACCGATCGAACCATACCGGAGATGGCGGGATGAGGGCCGATTTCCAACGTGGTAGACTGATCGCCGAGAATGTGGCGAGTGTTTGCTGCCAGAAGTGCCTTTCGCATATTGACAGGTTCTCGGGTATGGCGGGCGAGATAGTCAGGGCCGAAGTTTTCGATACCGACGGCAATGCTTCCGTCCAAGGGGCATAGCACGGGAATCTTAGCCTCGGAGTAAGTTGCGCCACCGGCTATCTTCTTGAAGTCCTCCAAGATCGGGTCTACCTGAGACGAATGGAAAGCGTAGGGAACTTTTAATAGTGTCGTCTTGAGTCCCGCATCCGCTAGCAGATTCTTGAATACGGCGATGTCCTCATTGATACCAGCCAAGACGGTCTCTGTTGGTGAGTTGATGCAAGCAACTTCGTACGTGCGATGTTTGAGGATGCCCTGGACCGTCTCTACCGATGCCATAACCACCAGCATAGAGTGGGTATCCCGTGTGCACTTCTCCTGGAGTAAAGTAGCTCTCGCTCCCACGAGGTAGATGGTGTCTGCGTCGGATAAAACCCCAGAAACGTTTAGAGCCGCGTACTCGCCTAGACTGTGTCCGACAACGGCGGTAGGAGTGATATTCCACGACGCCCACAGCTTGCTGAGTGCGATTTGTAAACAGACACTAGCCAACTGAACAGCGGCGGGCTTGAAGATGCTGACATCTAATTCCTTCGATTGGATGACGGGAAGTATAGAAGGAAAGCCGAGGTTGTGGCCAATACGATCTAATCTTCTAACTTCAGTGCGGAACAGAGAGAAGTTGTCGTAGAGTTCCTTTCCCATGCCGGGGTATTGTGCTCCCTGTCCTGTGAATGCGAAGACAACCTTAGGAGAGCCCTTGGGCCTAGTCATTCCCGTTTGGTCGCGGATAGCTGCCTCGATCTGGACGCATAAATCCTCAGCGGTCGAACCAGTAAGCATCACGCGGTGCTGGTGGTGAATGCGTCGTGCTGTTGTGGTGTACGAGAGCTGGCCGGGGTTGACACTTGGGTTATGCTCTAAGAACTTGAGCAGAGACTTTAGGTTTCCTTGCAAGGAGACGCCATTCTTAGCCGATACGGCCACAAGGTGTTGGTTTCGCGTATCGGGGACTTGGTTGGTCGACTCGGGCACGTATGGCGCATCTTCGATCAACAGAGCCGTGTTCCCGCCAGCAGCGCTGAAGTTGTTCACAAATGCTCGTCGGGGCTTTGAAGGGTCGGAACTCCTTTCCCAAGGGGTCGGCTTTAAAGCAATATGGACATTTCGTTCGTTTAGGTCCGTCGGAAACTTGTGGTTTATCTTTGTCTTGATACCGCAGTGCGGTACTATCATATTCTTGCGCATCATCAGGAGTACCTTGGTAAGACTTGCCATACCAGAAGCAGCTTCGCCGTGGCCGACATTTGCCTTAGCAGAACCCAAGTAGAGAGCTTCGTTACTGCTTCGGCCGGTCTTCACTTGAGAAAGAGGCGGGGCAAAGCTGTCCAAAACGCTGGACATCTCTCCGGCGTCGCCCGCTTGCGTACCAGTTCCGTGCATCTCAACATATCCGATAGAATAGGGGTCGACGGCACCTTGGTTTAGGATCTTTTTGAAGATGGCACGCTGAGCTCCAACGTGCGGCCGTGTAATAGACTCGGACTCAGCCGAGTGATTTGTGTACGCTCCCAAGATCAATCCCATGATGGGGTCCTTGTCGGCGATAGCATCGTCAAGACGTTTGATGATGATCGTACCGACGCCTTCTCCTCGGCAGTATCCATCAGCCGAGTCGTCGAAAGTCTTACAGTTGCCCGTTCGTGAGAGGAAGTGTCCCTTATCGAGACCAGCCGTCATGTCCGGGTTGGTCAAGACATTGGTACCGCCCGCAATAGCCGTATCGATGTCTCCCCTCCACAGAGAATTGCAGGCGAGGTGGATGCCGGCAAGACTGGATGAGCATGCCGTATTAACCGCATAACTCGGGCCGCTAAACTTGAAAAAGTAGTTGACACGTCCCGGGATAAATGCCTGGTTTCCACCTGGGATGAAGTACGTGTCCACATTCTGAGCGCTGTTCGTTTCCATCCAGTCCATGCTAGTCACACCATAGAAGACGCCGACGCGATCGCGTCGTGTCGATGGAGTAGCGTCTGGGACAATACCGGCTTGCTCGATCGCTTCGTAAGCCGTCATTAGGGCAAGCCTTTGCGCAGGGTCAATTTGTGGCGCCTCTCGGGGCGAGATGTTGAAGAAGCGCGCATCGAAACCGGCAGGGTCGTCAAGCCAACAGCCAAATGCCGTCGCGCTAGTGTTCTTCCCCTTTCCTGTAGGGTCGACATGGGTTCTAGCATCCCAATGAAAGTCTGGGACGGGCTTGTGGACATCTAGACCCTGGTAAAGAAGATCCCAGAATGCCTCGTTGTCTTGTGCGCCAGGGAATCTCCCCGATAACCCGATGATGGCGAGCTTGGGCTTTCCGGGACTGGCATGCGAGCTGCCCTGGGCAACGGACGGTTGGCTCTGTGTCGGCGTGTGTGTTAACAAGGAACGCAGAGATGTCTGCTTAAGCGCTGTGTAAATCAGCTGGTCGGCTTTCGTCCCAATTGGAACAATGCTGAATGACTCGGGTTGCTCTCTCCGGAGACAAGCTTGCAGCTCCTCGAGGATATCGTTCCAACGAATAGGTTGCAGCAATATTTGACCGACGGCAGACTTCAAGAGCGCCCCAAAGTTGCTACTCTCCTCCGACTTTCCAGTGCTGGAAAAGACGGGAATATAGCTAGAGCGTGAATCGGTGCCGCTGGAACTCAGGCTCTCGACAATTTCGTCGACGTCTTCTGAAGAGTATAAATGCGGAGCATGGTAAGGTCCGAAAATCTTGATACCCTTTAACCCTGAATTATGTAAAGTTCCCGAGCGGGTAAGTAGATCGAGCGATCGAGGCGGTCCGCTAACAGTGACGCCGTTTGGAGCATAGGCGCTGACGTACGGCCTGGCAGATAGGGGTAACGTCTAATGTAGCAAAGTAGGTAGGTAAGTAAAGTATCCAACCGGTACGACTTTAACACAGAACAATTATGCTTACTGTTTGTTCGCAAAATCTTCGGATGGCATCAGCAGAGGCAGAACCGGGAACAATGATTGACCAGCTCGGATCTGACAAATCCGAGGACTGGAGCCTCTGTGCCATATCGGTTACCCGCACGCCCGTTCTGAAAGCCGCAACCACTGCGTCGACAGCCACGGGGATGAGCTCGAGCGTGTTACGACTGCAGCCAATAGCTGCTGCTGCCAAAGCTCCCGTGCAGAGACCCAGAACGTGGGAATCGTTGGCGTGGAAATCCCACGTGTCAGCCTGGCTGCATAATATGGTTTAGTATGTCGTGCTACAACGTGGGTAACGTATGTTAGGAGTTAAGATATGTCTTACCTGATGAATACACCGAGTTGGTACATGCATGTTACAGCCATGTCTAAGGCTATGCACCGTTTTCCATCTTGATTCCACAGGACGAGATCGTCCAAACAAGTGAACCGAGGGAGATCGTCCCTGATTTCAGCTGGAAGCTTGTATATCTCTGTGCGGATAGCGTCGTATACTTTGACCAGGAAGTCTTCCAAGACTGGATTGTGTCTGTATAGCATCAACTCCCTCAAGTGCGATTGTGTGTCGTATGTCTGATCTCCGAAGAGATACAGTTTCAGTTGGTTAACCATTTTGACGTTGATGATACGACTTGGAGATATGAGTCGATGGTTTGGCCGTTGCTGTGGATTGTAGACTGCAGACCACTCTGTATCAAAGAGACGTTCGAGGTCTATACATATATAATTGATATCTACAATGTCTCTTCGAGTCTATGAATAATAACCACACCACGACGCCGCCGATCATCTCTTCAGTCCAGACCCCCCCTTAAGCCTTATCTCCTCAGCTTCCCTTGCCTTGCCAAGCTAGCAGTGACTGTGTTCGGGCATACTCGAGTTGTTGATATGTGACATAAGCAGCCACAAGCTTCCACTCAGGATTGAGCATCTCGACCTATCTCGGAGCCGGGAATCCTGCGGGAGATCTAAGAGTAATCGGGGCTTATTCTAAAGATCTCGGGGGGTTTTATCTGATAGATAGGGTTGTAAGGTGTTGTTTCACCTTTGCCGTGACATATTCATGATTCCATTCCCTCGCACTGCCGGCGAATAGTAGCACCAATCCTCTTCAGGTCGATAAGCTGAAACGAGCTTATGCCAACCTCTCTTAGAACGTATGAACCGGTCGGACAATGAGTAATCTTTACCAGCAGGGCGGGAAGCACGTGCTGTCTGCGACATGGTTAGTTCATTGCTGAGCCTCAACCTCGCTAGGCAACATACCTCGTATGTGGGAGGTAGGTAGGTATATGCAGAGTATACGGAACTGTGCGTTTTAAACGTCAAATAGAACATCATCTTAGTATGTTATATTTTCTTGTGACGATGCTATTCCTTTCTATGCAAAGTAGGTCAAAATAATTCAAGTCATGTTCGGTTATCGTAAATGTAAAAATTGCTACTACACTTTGAAATATTTGTCCTTCTAAAGCATCCAGTTAAGTCATCTAGGTTAGTTGGTATATTATTCGGAATGTCCGTTTTTCCATTCCAAGAAGAAACGTATATTGTAAGCACATCCTGGTGTGTAAGGGTGCCACGATAAGGCATTCCTCGAACATTCACCAATCCGTATTATGCAGTAATATCATGCTCCACGAGGCGTTAGGGAGAGCGGCAGAATGGCGGAAGTAAGCGATAAGCTTACCGATGCATAGAAATAGTCTGAAGGAACCGTAAGAGAGCCTATTCTGTGTAACCATCCGTAGTGCCACGATGTAAGTCTGTTGGCTTAGGGGGAAAAAAAACAAAATGTCTCCGAGTTAGCTTTTTCGCATTTTATCTAACAGAAGTCCCTCTCGCATGAACAGGGGGTTGCAGACATGCAGGTTCGGAATGGCTTGAAATCTAGTGGACAAGTCTACTTTGAGTTCTACTTTGAGTCTTTGACAAATCTTTGACAAATTTCTTTTTGATAATAACAACCCTTCTCAGGCGTTGAAACGTGGAAGCTCACGTTTTATTCATTTTACTAATGATGATTAATAACCCCCCACGACCGTCTCGGCAACCCAAGCTACGATCTAGTTGCGATGGGTGTGGCTCTGCAAAGCTCAAATGCGATCGAGGCCAGCCTGAATGTGGACGATGTGTGTCTCTTGGCATCACCTGCGTCTATGGGGTCTCGCGGAAAATGGGTAAACCACCAAGAGAAAGGTTACAGATTCCAGCCATGATAGGCGGGCCTCGCACAACAGGAGAGCACCACAGAAGTAGAAAGGAGAGTGGGCCCGACGACAGTAGTTACAGCCGTCGTGCAGGTAGTTCCATTAGTGACACTATCTTACCGAGGACCAATTCGAGTTCGAGTATCAATGATATACACTCGGCTTGGGGGGCAGCCGAGGAATATTCCAGCCATGCTATGACGAGTGTTAGCGTGCTGGATGAATTCCATAACGACCAATTGGGGCCACCGCTCACGAATTTCTCATCTCTGGATATGAACGAATGGGTTTTGACGAACATCATTAGGGACGAACCCTCATCCACCAATCTAGAGACCGAGCCATTCCACTTGGGATGGCCAGAGCTTGAAAGCTCCCCGGCTTCAACAGGGCAAACAACAGGGGCTCATACTCCGGGGGATGACAGAATATATCTAGACAGCCCCTTTATGCAACATGACGACGCCAAGAATCACGACTGTACCCGGGAGGCGTACGAGATTTTGAATAGTTTATCTTCCCTGAACATCAGCAAAGCACACTCCAGAACTACGCCGCCACCAGGCACGACGGCCACCTCCATAAATTGCGTCCCCCTGGATTTTATATTACAACTTAACCGCGAAGCCACCGAGAGGCTCGGTCGCTTGTTGAGCTGTTCCTGTGCTAACTACTCTCATCTCGCATTTCTTTATGCCTCTATTATCGGACAGATTGTGCTTTGGTATAGCCGTGAAGCCGGATGCTCCAAGACATCCTCACTAAGTCCTATACCAAACGCGACAATACGGCATGGTATGTCGCCTTCTTGCTCCTCTACTGGGTCGATGTGCAGGTCACCATCGTCCTGGCTAAGCATAGGAGCTAGTACTGCGAATACAAGTGTCAGCGGCTCGAGCACGCCATCAGGGACGCGAAATGCCGCAAAAGATCTCGCTCCTACGCAGATGACTATGGGCTGCTTTAGCATCGACGACCAGCTGGTGCAGGCCGCGTTAAGAATTCAGTTATTATTAGGCGAGATGAAAAGGGTCGGATATCTCATTGACGTATTCGCGTCCCGGAGTTCTACCCGTATGGACGAATCTACGTCGGGGAACATAGATGATCTGTATAAAAACTTGGGATCGTGGCTAGGAAAAGAGCACTCGAAAATAGTTGAGATGATGAGAGTAAGATTGAGAGATATTAGCATATAAAGTCTAGCATACCATAACTAGATCATACTTATCAATTATGAGAATTTACAAAGCTTACTGTTTACCTGGAAAGCCTTTGGAGAAAGCCAAGTTTCCAAGACAATTAATTATCGGACGGTGATCCTTTCACTCTTAATGATTAATGCATACCTACCTACCTACCTACCTACCTACCTAGTAGGTAGATAATCACTTAGGTACATTACTGTATTAGTTTACTCGGTGTTGTTTTTCATTAACTTTACCATTATAGAAATTATTCAACTTAGTTGGTGTTTCATTGGTGTGTCTTACTTGTACGAGACGACTATGTTTGAAATACCAACCCCAGTTCCCAAGTTAGCAGTTCTACTTTATGATTCTTAGTATTAGCATCTCCCATTCAAATCTGACAAGTGGCAACTGGAAGTAGGCAACTCAGAACCAAGCTAGTTAGATCTGAGTCCTACCTCAGATCTGCCCGGGCTTAACACCACAAGGCGTAGCTCGTAAGGTTAGGTAGGTAGGTACTGATGTCTTAGTTCTAGACCTAGGTGAATACGGTTCCTCGCGTTTGTAGGTAAATCCGTATAGTTACCAACGTAAAGGAATATGGTCTAAGCGGTAACCGTTAATTCCGCCGCACAACCTTGTACGCAACCTCGTACGGTTCGAGAAAAGGGGACTCGTATCATATTCCCTTTTCCACTGCGGCTGGAATTTAAAGCATTTATCACTTGCAGTAGTGCGCATCCGTTCCTTCATTTATTCCTTCCAAGTTATGCTTGATTTTAGTGTCCGCTGGCGTAACGTGTGGTGGCTGAATTCTCTGCATATACCGTTATAAGCCATCTCGGGTCAGCAAGCCGCATGATGACATTGTGAATATTCTATTAAGCCAATAGAGTTTTGCTTTTGATACCCGAATAATCGCTGCCTCGACGGACTTAAAGAAAGCTCGCTCCCGAACGCTTGCTTCGACGTGCATTATGGCGTAGGTACGTCAAACTTGGGTATGATTATTCCTCAAAGGCGGTCCTGGGTACGTCCACGCAATACGAAGCAAGAGAAATTCTTAGAGAGCGAGATGGATATAAGCTGCGTCCGATACTTAGCTAAAAGATGATCCTAAATGAATTTCCTTCAAAAAAGATCTACATGCAAAGCTTTTAGAAGGATTTTTTTTTTTCATTGCGTGCTCCACGAAATAATCTGTTGGTTCTATTTTGGCATATATTTACCAGTTATTAATTTCCATCCTTCTCATGAAAGGAATCGATCTGTAACTAATAAAAGATGACGGAGGAAATTTAACGAGTTGCATTTAATTGGTGATAAGCTTGAAAGCCCCCATACGCAACTGCACCTGCATCATATGATGATCACGGGAGTACGACGCAAAATCAGTTACTCGTCAAAAGATAAAACAGTTATTAGATATTAGGGATAGTTCAAGATGATGAGTAGATACGATAAATGTAACTACGATTCTTTCGCGGTTATAATTTATCAAATGAGTTAACATGAACCCCTTTATAGCCTATTGAATTTATAGACAACTTCAAACTTTTTGTTTCTCCCCTTTTACTCGCTGCATAATGTTAAACATGTTACTAAATACGGGAATTAGCCCCCTTAAGTTAAGTAAACCTCGATGATTCCCAGCCTCAACTTCTTGGCAAAGATACCACTACATAGATGTAAAGTATGTGGTGAGGGTTATCTTGCGGATTAACAAGAGGGACAGAAAGTCGTGGGGAAAGTTAAATGAGAGACTCTAGGCCGCGATTCTTCCCGTGCCTTCGAAGGAGTCAATGAGATGCACGTATATCGATAATACAGAACAGATCTTGCAGTAAGCATAATTGGCGCAGTCTTCTATGACGACCTCAAAGGATGACATAGAATAGCTCAGCCCTATCACATAACACGCGGGAAAGGGGTGACCGACTTTTGAAGCAGGCGTCTCCCTGCCTCTTCGTCCCGCCTGTAGTAGGCAATTCATCGTACCTCCGCCAATAGGAATCCCATAATTAGCTAAGGATCTTAGATATTTGATAGCAGATTTAGTGATAGCCGATTAGAATATCGTGAGGCCAAGGAGGCTATCGTATTGGCGTTCTCGAACCGCATCGGGCGTCGGGCGAAGATAGATTCGTTCAAATCCTGCAGTTCTTAGTTCAGCTCGGCCAAGTCGTCGACCGTCTTTTGTATTTCATCACTTTATTATCAGTCATACGTTCAACCTTGGCATTAAGCCACGCCGAGGTGAAGCTGGATGTGCGGAGTATGTTTACCCGTTTTCGCTTCCCGCCTCGGGCGCCGAGACGGAGTTAGGTAATTTGCACAAGACTTACATGGAACCAATGAGAAAGCGAGACGAGGCACGACTTGGTCAGCCTTTGAATTATTTTCCAGTCCTCGAACAAAGCTTATCTCCTAAGCTCCGAGCATAGAATATATCCAATCAGAATTCAACAAGGACTAGTCCTTTGGAAATAATGCAGGAAATTGTTCTATTCGCACCTTAGGAGATATTAATTCTCGCGAGGCAAGCGTCATAAAGTACAGCTTGACATAGGACACATGATGAAGGCAGCTGTGAGTTCCGACTTACCGGCGTTCTTTAGCATATCGACTCGATGTAAATAGCCTTCGAGTAATCCGTAATTGGTTTCCATCCTTCATTCGTACTTAATATCCATTCATATCCATTAGAATTCCAACTTCATAAAAGATCGACTTACATGAGCCACTAAGTTAGATAATTTATGCGACAAGATGAGTTCGACAGTTGTATATCCAAGGGACCCAGCTGCCACCATGACCAACGTCCTCGCCTTATATCACACCCATAAGCTTCTTTTCTTGGCAGGTCTTGTCGCCGTGGCATGTTTAGTGGCATGGCTTCGCCGGGATAGACGTCTAGAAAAAATGCCTGGGCCTAGAGGAAACCCGTTAATTGGAATCGGTACCAGCTTACCTCCAAAGGCGCATATCCGCTTTCGGGAATGGTCCGCCAAGTATGGCGATGTTTTCAAGTTGAAGGTGGGCTGGTACAATTGGGTGATCATCAACAGCCCAGAAGCGATCCACGAAATTCTGATTAGACAGGTAATAAATACGAAAGAAGATAGAACGATATGACTATATACTGAAAAAACTAACGCTTATCTCCTTAGTCCTCAAGTACTTCGTCTAAAATGCCTGCTCCTATTGGACATGATGTAGTCGCCGGTGGGATGCGGATGTTTACCTTGCCGTACGGAAGCAAGTGGCGAGCTTTTCGCACCATCTCGCACCAACTTCTCTCAAGTACAATGACTGCCACATTTATCCCATCTCAGGAATATGAGGCCAAGCAGCTACTCTTCGACTTGGCCACGGATCAGAGCGACTTCCTCATGCACGTACGCCGCTTCGCCTTCAGTATCATGCTTACTAGTACCTACGGATTACGCGTAAAGACGTGGGATGATGAGGACGTACATCATGCCTTGGAGAGTGCCCGCATCCTTGGCAAGATAACGCATGCGGGTGTGTTCATCGTCGATGAGCTGCCCATCTTGGCGCAACTTCCTACGTGGCTACAACCGGGGAGAAAGCGTGCCGAGGGCTACGCAAAGCCGCTACTTGATGCCAAGATGATACTCTGGCGAAGATTACAAGAGCAGGTTGCTGCCGGAAAAGCACCGGTGTGTCACGCACGCGAGATGATGGAAAACGACGACTCGTGGCGGAAACAGGGGCTCACAGACGAAGATGCGGCTTGGGTTGCCGGCGGTAACGTAGAGGCTGGATCGACAACAACATCAGTTACGCTGTTGAGCTTATTATTGCACCTCGCAGCAAGCCCCGACGTCCAAAAAACCGCCCACGATGAGCTTATGCGCGTCGTAGGACCTGACCGCACCCCCGTCTTCGATGACGTAAAAGACCTTCCTTACATCCGCGCCTGTGTTAAGGAGGTTCTGCGCATGCATCCCACGCCTTTCTGGGGAATCAAGCATTACGCTGATGCCGACGTTACTTACAAGGATTATGTTATTCCTAAAGGCACCATACTACTGGCCAACACGAGCACCATCCACTACGATCCGTCTCGCTACGAAGACCCGTTCACGTTCCGCCCCGAGCGTTACCTCGGCCATCCCAAATACAGCGCTGACTACGCTAACCAAAGCGACCCGTACAAACGAGACCACTTCACCTTCGGCGTAGGACGACGCATCTGCCCGGGATCCCGGCTCGCCGAGAATTCCCTAAACATCGCGCTGGCAAATATCCTATGGACGTTCGAAATCCGCCCGCCCGTAGTCGACGGCGTTGAGGCTAAAATGGACCTAAGCGACGACGCCTGGGAGAACACGAGTTTCCGCGGTCCGAAGCCCTTCAAGGCTCGGTTCGTGCCCCGTGCCGAATATAGATCGGAGCTTGTCCAGGACCAGTGGCGCCAGGCTATGAAGGAAGGATATGTGCTCAGGGGTAACAACGTTGATGTTGATAGCGTTGTGTCATATTAATAGCGTAATGATGGGTTGTTGGGTTGTTGTTGGGTTGATTGACGTTAAGTTTAATAACTGGCATAATGTACCTACCTAGCAAATGATAATTTGAAGATATTCATGTAGTCATTTTATTTTCTATTTCATTGTTTTAAGTGTTCTTGTCGTGTAAGCAGGGGTGAAGACAGCCCCCGCACTATAGCCATAATATCATCTATAGCTATAATATGTACCTCCTAGGTACCTCTTAATCTGACATGGGGGTTCTTACTGGCGCCAGCTTGGATTCTGGATAGCTTAATAAGAAGATCACGAACGAAAATTCTTTCTTATTACCTACCTCACTTTTACAGAATGGGGTATCCTCATTTCGCACCAACTCTTCTCTGGAACCTATCTCTCCCAACCGAACTAGGTGTAAAGAAGCCGGCAAATATTTTTGCCTTCTCTTCGGATGATAAGTTCCTTTTTACTTTACATGAAGATCAGGGTGGTATCTTGGTAAGTTCTCCCCACAAATCCTTGGCCGGTCTTTATGGATTTGAATCCACGTATGGAAAGTGGGTGACATAGTTCATAAGTAATGCTCTATCTATAGATTTACAGTTCTATCGTGTTTACATGTTGTCGAGACATATAAGTACACGCTAACTCTATACTATTACCTATTACTGTAGTGGGATCTTACTGCTACTTCTTTGCCTCGAAAGCTCGAATTCAGTCAGGATAACCCTAACTCAAAGCATCCTATTAGGGCTGCTGCACTAGACGCGAATGAAGGAATCATAATAGCTTTTGGTCTCGCCCATCCCGCTGAATATTATAATATTCCAAAAAACGACACAAAATTAAAACTAGCAGAGTATGTCCTTCCAGTAGCGAACGACGTCAAAGTTTCAAGGGATAGCAAAGTATTCGCGCTCACGACGGGGACTGTCGTGGAAATATGGGATGCACATAGCTTTCAGAGAGTTAAAATTCTCACGTCCAATGTTGAAATCCAAACCCCGTTTGAAAAGGTTGCACTCTCTCAGGACAATAAATATGCTGCAACAGTCGATTCCGAAGGTCGATTCTTCGTTTGGGGGCTAGACAACGATTTCCACAAGGTCTCGCAGAATAGAGAGGTCGGTATAGACCTAGGGCAAGGATGGATTCCGACGAGTATTGGCTTAGGTGAACAGAATTTCGTGATGGCTACCCTAAAAAAGCGAACGACCTCGGGTCAGGACTCCTGGATGCTGATGTCGTGGGGTTATAAACACGAGGGACCCGACAACACGCTATATGCTAAAGAATATCCAAAATGCGCGCTAACTTGCGTTGCGCCCAGCACCGAGTTCAGCGTTTCTCTAACGCCCGAGGGTCATCTGAGAGGGAGTGATAGCATGCTCTGGCCGCTATTCTCGACTGAGAAGGGCGCCAGTAAGAAGGGCAAGGTGGTATCGTGTGGAATGTCAGAAAGTAGCAAAGTCTTCGCCGCAGCTCGAACTAACGGCCGGTTAGCTGTATGGAGATTATATACGAAAGATGCAGATCCTAATGAGCGGTATCCAGGATAAAGTTATTAATAGGGGCGTTACTATACGTATCTTATCTACCGTTAATGATTTTTATGATTCCAAAGGGTTAATCATCATATATTTTGATGTTCATATTAGTAAAATATATATCTTAGATGACGTCCAATATTTACACCGATTTTCCTCGGTTTCTCTCAATTATACTCTGCCCCTTTAGTTGCTGGTCTATTACTGGCAAATTATTTCTTCCGTCATATCCACCTCGCCCCATTACAGCCGTCCTTCTCTATACCATGTTTCGTTGATGGTCTCCTTAAGGATACGAGTAATGGCTGAGAACATAGATACATTAAAGTATAAGGGGTCGTGAAAATACCAGGGGGGGCCTAAACCTGAACTGCTGATGTGGATAGGGGCTCTTTGTCCGAGACGTCTCAGTGAGTCAGAGACCTGATCTGTATTAATTTATGTAGGTTAGATACATTGAGCTTGCCACCATGATAACCTAATACACATAACCTAATATGTGTTTCTTGTAATATTGGGCGTACTCTCAAGATAGTGATTCCAGTTCCACTGCCCTCTGATTGATGATTGTACTCTATAACTGTGGGTTTAAGGGGTTTGTCAAGCTACTAAGTGCGAAACCCTTTTATGACAACGAACAAGACAAATTCACAAAATGAGACTTATGTGATAAATTAAGAGGTACTTTTTTAATAAAAAAAAAGCTTATTTGTGTGGTATTGGTTTTAGTTTATATTAATTATTACTATGCTACGTGCAATCGAAACATTCAGCAAGTTCCATTGATAGCAAAACCAGCAAAGCCGTTGCGTCCGGACAAGCACATAGCCAAACACGGTTACTGTCTAGCACGTAAGTAGTGAGTAGCCAAGAATGCTTGTAGTTTGTAGTAGCAAAATTATGAGCCAAAATCGATAGCTGACTCAAGAGCATCGTATATAATAGTAAGGCCGTAGAAGGAAACCTTCCGCCATGTATTATTCATTCTTGGCTCTAAATGAATCATCTGCGAGGAACCTTTCGTAACCCCACCGAATTCTCTGTTGACATTGCATTACCTTTATCAATAGTTTACGGAATTTCTAGAGCGTGCCGCATACCAAAGAAAACGGTTCTACTGCAGCATCCCTTTTCCTTTGCTGTAATTCACGTCAGAAATAGTACTATATCACCTCGACTATGTCTCATCAGAATCAGGGACGCGGCAGACAGTCATATCGTGGCCAAAGCCAGGGTCGTGGCTACGGCCGTGGTCGTAGTTGTGATCAGAATCAAGGACAGAATCAGCCCCAAAATCCAAATCCAAGCTGGAACCGAGGTCGGAACCAAAGCCAAAGCCAAAGCCAGAATCGGGGCCAAAGAATAGATCAGTCTCAAGGCCGAGGTTCTAGATCCAGCCAACATCGCGAGGTCAACAGGTAAGTCAGTGTTAGCTATACGCTAGCTCAATTCCTATTACTACCTACCTACCTAGGTAATATAGTATCGTTTCTTACGTATAGTATCATAGACCAGTAGAAAATCCGCCCGAGCCCCCCGAAGAAATCACCAAGACCGAGGATAAAATCCTAAACTCTGTCAAAATCCAAGCCGATGATTGGAATATTACCCCCCGGAGACCGAGATATGGAACAGGACGAAACGAGATCACCCTTTGGGCTAACTACTTCGAACTCGATGTAGATACACGCGGAAAACTATTTCAGTACGATATAGTATTTCCGGACCAGGAAAGAAAGCCTACTGGGAAAAAGCTTGCGCGCGTCGTTAAGTTACTTTTAGATAGCAAGAAGTTTGAGCCATACAGTGTAGTTACCGATTTTGCTACGACACTCATCTCCCATACAAATCTCCCAGAAGAATCGTTCACGGTATCCTACTGCGATGAGCACAACGTTCGAGAGAGTAAAAGTACAATGAATTATATCGTACAGATAAAATATACGGATATCCTACTCATCGATCATTTACTCGAGCATTTAAAAGATCCTAACAAACCTTGCGAAAGAGAAAACATTGTCAAGGCACTTAATATCTTTTTAAACCACTACCCCCAAGGCTCGAAAGGCCATGCCACGATCGGTTCGAGCAGATCATTTCCATTAGATGATACTTCCCGCATATGCAAGGGTTTACAGTTTGGCTGTGCTGCAGTCAAGGGGTACTACTCCAGCATTCGGCCGGCCACTTCGCGAATCCTCGTCAATATAAATGTCACCTATGGCATTTTTCACCAGAAGAATGGCTTGGCCCATATAATGTCCAACTTTATTAAGAAATGGGGTGATAGCCCTGCGGCTCTTCAGAAATTAGCGGCATCCCTTAAAGGGGTCAGAATCGAACATAATTATCTGAAAGACAAAACAGGTAACCACATCCGCCGAGTAAGAACCATCTTTGACCTTGCGTCGAAAGAAGACGGCTCGCCAGAAAAAGACGAGAGAGATAAAAAGCAGCCGCGGGTACCTTCCTACGGGGCTAAAGCCAAGGAAGTTGAATTCTGGTTTAATGATGGTTATATCACCGTCTCCAAGTTCTTCCAAAAAGGTCAGTATAATTTACACGGAGCATGATAATGTTTAATGTCCATTCTAACTTTACTAGAAAACAAAGTAACAACGAATAGCGATCTACCGCTAATCAATGTCGGGTCACGTACGCACCCGACGTATCTTCTACCGGATGTATGTGAAGTGCTGGCTTGGGAGAGAGCCAAGGTAGTTCGATACGACAAAGATATGGTTTCTCGCATACCTATCCACGGCCCTTCGGAAAATGCAAACGATATTGAAAACAACGGCTTGAGGGCAATTGGAATGTCAAACGGAGACGCTCGTAACAGTAAGAGACTGGTAAGTAACACAAGGGTGATAAATAATAAAATGGTTGACTGGTTCTCATGATCTCTAGGAAAATTTTGGTATTTCAGTTAGCAAACCCAAGTTGATCACCGTCAAAGGCCGCAGGTTATCTGAGCCTGAAATTCAATATAACTATGGACGTGCGATAAAGAGTAGTAACTGGAACTTGGAAAACATACAGCTTGCGTCTAAACCGGTTGAAAAGCGCTGGACATGTGTGATTATACAACCCAGAAAAGATGATACAGCACGTCTCAACGATAGCCTCCAGGAGCTTCACGATATGTTGAAGAAAAATGGCGTGTCCATCGGAAAACCACATCCTTCAAACGTTGAAACCATATTATATCATGAGGCCAAAGCCCTCGAGAGCGAGCTCCGGAATGTATTTGGACGTGTGGCCGAGAAAGTCGACTTTTTACTCGTGGTCTTACCGACGAAAGAATCGTTTACTTACAATTACGTGAAGAGACTTGGCGACATAGAATATGGGATCCCAACTCTCTGCATTTTTAGAGATACTCTTATTCCTAAACCCCGTCCTAGTTACTTCTCTCCTAAACCTTCCGGTAGTTCTTCTGGTAATTCTTCTAGAAATGCCCCTATAGACACCCCTAAAAGGATTTCTGGGAACCTTGTCGGAAACCTGGCTCTGAAGCTCAATTTGAAGTTCAAAAACAATAACCAAACTGTCAACTTAGGAAAACTGGATTCTAAACTCAACTTAGGGGAAACAATGATCGTAGGCATTGACGTTACCCATTCTCCAGTCCCGGGCCAACCTAGCATCGCAGGAATGGTGGCCAGCATTGACAAGAACCTCGGGCAGTGGCCTGCTGTCTTGCGGCACCAGGAGAAGCCGCGTATCGAGATGGTAACGCACCTGAGAGAGATGCTTGAAACTCGGCTCAACCTCTGGTGCTCAAGACACAGATCCTACCCCAAGAACATCATTGTCTACCGCGATGGAGTCTCCGAAGGCCAGTATAAGCTTGTCGTCAACGAGGAACTCCCAAAGTTGAAAGATGCATGCAAGAAGCTATACAGTCAAGTAGACATGCCAAGGATTACCATCGTCGTTGTCGGCAAACGACACCACACTCGATTTTACGCCGGAAAGAACAGGGATAACCCGAGTCCGGGAACAGTCGTCGATCGCGGCATTACAGAGGCCCTCAACTGGGATTTCTTCCTACAGTCACATAAAGCAATCAGAGGCACCGCCCGTCCGGCCCACTACTTTGTCGTCCACGACGAGATATTCGGGGATAAGTTTAAAGAAGGAAATGCGGCCAACGCGCTGGAGATTTTTACTCATTCCCTATGCTACATATTTGGGCGGTCGACTGGTCCCGTTAGCATATGCACGCCGGCTTACTACGCGGATATCGCCTGCAACCGTGCTCGTTGCTACGTTGCTGCTGGTACCACGAGCTCTGCAGCTTCCCAAGCTCAAGTTGCTGGCTCGGCATCGGATGGACAACGACCTCTTGGGAGTGAAGGTCTTCTTCTCCATCCGAGGATGAAGGATAGTATGTTTTACATCTAAGAAATTGATGGGGTCCCTTCCTAGGGGTTCACCCCTTGGGTATCTATGATTTTAGGGTTGAATTCTGGTCAGAATAGGGACACGGCAGAAAGAAAAGGATGTACGTGAAAGAGCCTCATAAATGGCTTTGAATTATCGTGCTGCATATTGTACAAAGTTAATAATATCAAAAGGGGTAGACATTGTCAATAGAGAAAAGATATTATCATGGGTACTTGAAGATGATCCAAGGTTTTTATTTAAATCTCAGACAGCTTAGGAGTCCGTGGAATAGGGGTAGGCCGAGTAAAGGGGCATCTAACATATTATAAGATTCTCCTATTGTTAGGGGATACCCCTTCCAACCAGGCGTGACATAACGTATTCCTTGTGTGTTTATCGTACAAGCTAATTTTCTATTGTTAATAAAAGCCCGGGTAGATAATAGTTGCCTACCTACCTATGTATGTATGTATAATCTGCTGCTACGAGCCCCTATTTACCACCACCTAGGTAGTCAAGTACCCGAAGAGTTTAAGATTAAGGGAAATCTCTCTCGCCATGTGCAGCCCCTATTTTCGCCCCCCCCTTTACAACTTACTCTGCAATTGTTACACCAAATTCCTCAACTCCTGCCCCGCCAAAAACCTCCGAAGGTTATACGCAATAAGCTGCTCCGCGTCCTGCGGCCTCCCGCCCGCCGCGTGCGGGCTAACCAGCAAGTTCGGCGCGCCCCACAGCCTCGAATCCTTCGGCAACGGCTCCTTCTTAAATACGTCCAGCGCCGCGCCGCCGATCTTGCCTTGCTCCAGCGCGTCTGCCAGCGCGTCTTCGTCTATGCTCGTTCCCCGGCCGACGTTGACCACCCACGCGTGCGCCGGCAGGAGCGCTAATCGCTCCTTGTTCAGGACGTCCCGCGTGCTATCCGAGCCGGGCAGGATCATCACCAGCGCGTCGGTCTGCGGCAGTAGTTCCGGCAGCTTGTCCTCCGCGTACACCTCGACGCCGTTTCTTACGCCCGCCGACCTCGCTAGACCGCGCACCGTTGCGCCCCATGCCGTCAGGTGCGGGGCAAGCGTCTTGGCGATGTTGCCGTAGCCCCAGATGAGGATGTTTGCGTCGCGCAGGGTGGTAAAGCGGTCCTTTGGACGGTCGGGCTGCGGACCGCCTAGGTGTTGCGGCCACGCGCGTTGTAGCTGGTACTCGCGCATCTGGTCGAAGCGGCGGGCGGCTGTGAGGAGTAGACCCAGGGTATGTTCAGCGACGGTGCGGTCGTGCAAGCCAGAGCCCGTCGTCACGAGAACGTTCGAGGGAAATCCGGCAGCTAGAACATCATTAGGTCCCGCGGCGAGAGACTGGATCCAGCGCAGGTTCTTCAGACGACGTGCGGCGTCGGACAGGTTCTCGGCGCTGTTGGTCCAGGTAACGAGGATCTCGGCGTCGGCAAGGTCGTCCGGAATCGGGGCTTTAACATCGTAAGGATGTAAGGAGGTAGAGAAGCCCTCGAGACTCTTGATGTCGAGCTTGAGAGATGTGGGGTAAAGGAGCTTCATGGTGCTGTTGGACGGGGCGACGTATCTTCTAAGCTGGGAAGAGTATAGACGAGTAGGAATGACAAGTCTAGTAGTCAACGTTTGTAGCATACAGAGAGAAAAGAGAAAGCAGATAAATAAATAAAATTAAGTAGCTAGGTACGTAGGTGTGTAATAAAGAAAACCAAGTTTATGGAAAGTCTCAACGACCGCACATTTAATATGCCGTGTAACGGCGGGGACGGGATATGCGGGGTGCGTCCCGGGGAGAACCTATTATTTATCGATGTGGATGTCGTGCTTTCTCCATATGCCGGGCTATTGTCAACCGAGTAGCTTCTACTAGTTCCACGCTACACGCACCCTTACGAATCAACACTCACCTATAAATATATGTCAAGTACCTCACCTATGTATAAGTACCTACCTAAGACAGTCAGTTACATAGAAAGGCACCTCAGGACTTTTGATATATTCCCATGTATATTGCGTACCTAGGGATAGGGGCAAGCATGTGTAGGTAGGTACCTATATAACAATGTTTTTATTCAAGTATTAAATTTCTTTGTTTTTTTGCTTTTAAGATATCCGGTCCGTGAAGTGATGATATAAGTTATTAGATCTTGAGCCTGAAATAGTAGAAAAGGAAATTGGGTATCTCATCGCTGGGAAATATGTAGGTCTCACCTTACGTACCACATTCCGTATAAATCAAGCTGAAAACTTGTTAGACTTCTCTTTGGACGTAGCACGAGCTAGAATCCAGTAACTAGTACTACGGAATGCTCTCGATTGTATCTACGATCCCTAAATCTAAGAATCGTAAAAGACCAACCTAGCACTATCCATAATGTCAATTTACCTTCTGCTACCATTCACGCCATCCACGCCATGCCTCGTCGTCATGCCTCGTCGCCATAAAATCATCGCCGACCATAATCAATTTTGCATTGCAACTCTCGTCGGCCAACCATCGAAAAGACTACAAGCCGGCTTCACACCTGCTTGCAGAAATATAAACGCACGAGCTCTGTATCTCAAGAGCAAACCGGCGTGCAAGGAAAGTCAAAGAAACTAGTACCGGCCTATGGAGATCACCCAAACGGCGAGTATGTTTCCCTCTTCCGCGTACGGAATATTACCCGACTCAAAAATTGAGAAATCCGGTATATACCGACCAACATTGGTCGGTTAAGACAACAAAGACAGCGCGTGCTGAACAGATCTGCGAATCCCATAAACCAGACCTGCCAAGTGGCAAAAGGTTCTCACGTCCTTCGAGCGAACTCAATCCCTCTAGTTTTCCACAACCATCCAGTCGGCAATAGCAAATTTAATTTGCTCACGAGGTTCAAGAGGCCTTCCACGTCCCTAATTCGAAGGAAGGTTTTCTATACGTCCAGCACCTTTCGGGTGGAGCCAATCCTGCTCGATCAATTCCTTGCGAGACGGATACATATGGCGATAGGCCGTCCTAATGGTCCCATCGCTGACACCAGCCACGGCGGCAATATCTCTAGATGTTTTCGCATCGCCCATAAGATGAGATGCCATATAGATAGATGCGGCAGCGATCGACAGAGGAGATCGTCCAGCCAGATCTTTGAGGGAAGAACTCTTCTCGGCCAAAACCTTGGATATCTTTTCCATAAGATGGGGATTCTTGAACTGGAGATTGTTGCAATATCGAGCACAGAGCTCGGCCGCGCCGGTCGTACCGGTAGCCTCGTAGTTCTCGACCATAAGGAACGAGCCGGTGACGTTTTCATCACGACTATTCTGCAACATCTTCTCGAGTACCTTGAACGTCCTGCCGATCTCCTTCTTCGAAACTCTAGTAAGAGAGTAAATCTCACGGAATGTCCGAGGCGCCTTGGCCTGTCGACATGCTATGAAGATGCAGCCGGCCACGACTGCCTCCTGGGGTTTCCCCTTGAATAACTTCTTGTCTTCGGTCATCTTAAATATATGTTTCGCAGAATCCTGGATGGTTTTTGGAATGTGAATGGCATCGCAAAACTGCGTGATATCGCGGTAGGCGGTTAAGAGCGTCTTTGTGGCTTTGTCGTTGGTGATTCGGCTCTGGGCGCGATGCAGCTCTCGCGCGCGCATTCCTTCGCCGAAGCCGATGTTGGTCTCGAGCTGCGAGCCGTTCAAGAGAGGGTTCGCAGCGTCACCGACACGAGAAGGGTCATCGTTGCCTTGATCGTCGTTGGCAAAGGTTCGCCACTCGGATCGTGTGTCAATGATGCGATCACCAAGGACTAAACCGCAGGAGCCGCAAACCATGTCTCCAGAGGAGAACTCTTCGACAAGATTAGGAGGATCTTCATTGCAATCGGGACATAGAAGTCGCTGATTCAAGTTCTGCTTGTATCCTCCATCGCTTTCATTCTGGTTCTGACTCGGATTTACGGTCTGGCTCTGGTTGGGGAGGGATTGTACGGGAGCGGAAAAGTTGGGCTCCAGGCGGGGCACCGCGGTCGCCATTATGACAGGATGGCGATGGATTGATTCGGATGTGGCGTCGTTATTGTTGTTGAGGTTTGAGGTTAAAAAAAAATTAAAGCGACCTCCGACACAAAGGTGAAGGTGAGAGAAAGAAGACGCGATGCAAATGCAGATGCCTGTAGAATATTCCCCAGTTATGTCAGCGTGGGTTACATAAATAGTGGGTCACCATACATATCACTACATTATGTATGTACATAGGTACCTCAGGACGTATCTTACGTAATCACTTAGTGCGGGTATGAAAGCGGCAATACGTACCTCGAGTTCTGCAAGCAGGCGTAAGCAGCACTTGTACCTCGAATAAATGTAAGAAAATCCGAAGGAAGATTGTTTCCTTTTATACCCGAATTATACGAAACCACAAAGTACGATCTCTTTGATGGTTTGCAGACCTTTGTAGTAACTAAACTCTATTTCTGATGCTATTGGACGTATTCAATAAACTTATTATACATAGGTATCCAAAGTTTCATGACTGGTACCTATGTACCTAACCTTAGTCTAGTTGTGAGGAATTCCATCTTTAGTGAATTTTTATAAAACCTTGGACAAATATATTCAACATGGATGTTTTATCAATAGAAAAATGACCAAGCACCAAAAAGTGGCGTCTGAGAAACTAGGTTAGGAGGTACCTAAGGGTTATTCCACGCCATTCACCATATTCCAAGCCTCATCACTCTCTTGCAGAAATGCCATATTAGAATATCAAATACGCAAAATGCTAGAAACTAATCACATTTCTAAAAGGTAAACAGCTTTGAAGACAACGGCAGAATCGCCTGCGATCCTCGCCGTAAATTTGACATAACTGTACTGTGATAGAGAGAAGTGCTTGATACCATGACGGGAATAAACGTAGACAGGCTAGAAGCATGGCTATTTTCAAACCAACACCAATAACACCCCCTCGTGACAGATAACCGTGGTTCAATAAACAAATTAAAACTTATAAATAGCTACCCCAGATATTGACAGTGCCATCAATGCTCGCCCCTAAAACGCCTGTGCGATGGCCCCGAGGGTATTCTTTACTATGCGCCGTTAAACCTTCCCATATCCGTATGCAAAAAAATTCGTCAAAGCGGCGCAGGAAATATATAACCTAGTAAACTCGTTTTCTCGTTATGAAGGGATGATTAATCGAGGTGGTTGCGGTCCCCGGCTCGGAGATGGTGTTCGAGGCGGAGGTCGAACGGCTAATTGAGGTTGCGGTAGAAGAGCCGGGTGGATTCCCATCTGCGTGTCTTGAACACCGGGAATCGGTATCTGACCTGCCTCGAATTCCTTCCAGTTTTCTCCCTGTTCTGTCTGTTCCTTTGGTTCTCTCGGGGCCACAGGCTCTCGGTCTTCCTGGTCCAGCTCTTGGAATTGATATTCCGAAGACCCCCACACCTGAGAGTTCCGCGACGAGGTTCGGCTTGCTAGGGACTTCCGGATCATCGTAGCCCGCTCAATCTCCTCTACTGCTTGCCTGTCTGTCGACCTCATCTTCCGTTTTTTAAATTCTTTGCCCAGAGGGTCTGCCTGGTCCTCTTGAGGGATTCGCTGCCGTTTTCTTGTTAGGTGTAATGTCAGAATTACGATCAGCGATGCTACAACGAGTACTCCGATGACGATCACAGCTATTAACCAAGGCGCCATTGAGTTGCCGGTGTCTCCAGCTTCTGGTGTAGCTACTGTGTGCGCATCGAATGCATCATTCCCCTCGCGCTGATGCAACGGTGGTGCCATGTTGGTTTAACCAGGAAAGCGGTTCGAGATGACTATCATGGGTTTGTGGCAAGGAAATAAAAATTGAATTGCGAGCGGTGAGGTGTGGGAATGACGGGGAGGCATTCTTTTCTACTAACTACAGTGTCCCTCTGGAATACGAGAAGAGCCGAATTGGAGGGACGGGAACCTAGACAGGTTCTATAATTGGGCGAATCAAGTAATAATTGACATCTACATACGGTTACACGCTGCATGCTGTGCGCCGCCCACCCGTACGGGACGATGGGGTATCTCGGGATCCCTGTAGTACGAACTGGGGGCGTGAGGCAATGCAAACGTTGCCTCGAACGTTGCCTTCGGTGACAATTGTATGCCTTAAGACCGGAAGTAACTTGGTTGCAAAACGCGTTTGATGTAAGTACCTAACGTAGGTGGGATGAGCAGCTGGCTCCTCTAAGCAAGTAGATATTCGTAGGGAATGCGGAATGCGCCGATCGTGAACCTATTCTGGTGATACTTAGCGCCGGCCTAGCTACTGAGAGCCTTTGGGTAGTATCGGTCGCATTTCAGTCGCAGGCAGTCGAGGCTGAGCAATTCTGCGGATTGGGCTAACGTATTCGTCCCTTAAGGAATACATTGTCTTTTCAGGGTCCTTCGGCTAGGCTTATCAAATAAATAAAGACGTATAATAAGGCCAAACGATCAGATAGGTATATCCGAATATTAACGGCGACGATGACAGGGCGAGGCAATTTCAATTGGGCTAATTCGTAGCCTACATAAGGTGTCCTTCATGGAAGATACTGCCACTCGCGCGGCGCAGGTCACCATATCGAGGCATTGTAGTTTTGTGATGTCTTTACTTGTCAGGCTGTTAGGTTACCTAGGCCGACAACCATTATCCTGGGATCCTGGGATCTTGCTGTTGGTTATTCGGCCGGCTGCCTACATAAGGCAATATAAATTACAGTCATTTGAGGCTTGATTCGGCGAATGATACGCCAACAGTTAGCAGTGGTGATGCTTACCTTAGTAGGTTGACTCAAGATAAAGTGCTTTGCGTTGCACGACAGCTACTCCCAATCGTCCATCATTGCACCGCCCATCCCTATGTTGCAGGGGTTCTTTTAAAGAGGAACGAGCGTTCTGACAAACAGTCGGTCGTGACGAGCATCGAATCCTTCTCGAGTAACAAGTAACGACCGATGTCGTTCATGGTGAAAAAAGCTCAGCTTATTGTTCCTAAGAATCGTAATCAGCAAATCGTCATAGTCAAATACTAATGAGGAATAAAGGGGACCGTTTTCATTGCACTAATCATCGTATGCCCGAGTTTACGAGGGATATTGTCTTGCTAACCTCGATTTCCTCTTTGGGAATCCCTTTTTGGAAAACTTCGACTCGAGAAAGGAAGTTCGTCTGTGCGCATTTTAAGCGGTTTTATTGGATGCATCCCTAGAAAAGCTGAGAATAAACGGGTCTCTCACGTGTTTTTCCAGGTCTCCACTTTCATCTTTTTCTCAAAATACGTATTTTTCAGCCTAGGTTCGAATCCCACACGCTTCTCCCTTTTTTTTTTTTTTTTTATATATATATATATATCTTTGTAAAGGTCGGTATTCGAGGTTCCCCGGCAGCACTATATTACCTTCAAAAACTCGGGCTATTGTGGTACACCGCAGGGGTGCCCTCATGTTGTTGGATTGTGGGGTAAAACTTCAATTAATCGGGAATAGCGGCCGTTTCTCGCTGTTTTCAAAGTTCCAACTTATCAACGTCTAGGTACTGCAGGATCCGAACGGCTTGTATACCAATTCTTCCGGTGAAGATTGATTCCTTCAGTAGATGTCGATCTGCCCTGTGTTATTTGTCTGTTCGTCCCGAGAGGTCTCGGCTAATACAGACATTCTGTGTCTCAAGAATTAATAACCACCAAATCAGCCATCATGTTCAGTCGCACAGTAGCTCGCGCCAGCCGCGACACAACGTTTCTTAGAAATCGTTATTCGGTTAACTTAATACGGCGGTATTCTGCTGTAAATGACGAGCGATCCTCTCTCCCCTTGGCGGGTTATCGTGTTCTGGATATGACTAGGGTCCTGGCCGGCGTATGTAGTGAAGGATCTGCCCCCAACCTCGGCAATGTGCACGGCCACTCGCTCACTTATCTTTCTGCGTAGCCATATTGTACACAAATTCTAGGCGACCTTGGGTATAAACTACATGTCACTTTTATGACGTTGGACTGTGTTAAGCTAATATCGTATCGCACGCAAGAGCAGAAGTTATCAAGATTGAGCATCCTACGCGCGGAGATGACACGCGGGCTTGGGGGCCTCCTTATGCCAAATACCGAAACGGATCCAACCAAGAAGGCCCGGGCGAGTCTGCCTATTTCTTGGGTGTATGTTATACACTTATCAATCCTGCTATACGTAGTCTTTACTGACTTACATCTAGGTCAATCGCAACAAGAAATCTTTAGGCCTGTCATTCCAACATGCCGAGGGCGTGGAGATCCTGCATAAGCTGGCAGCAAAATGTGACATTCTCGTAGAGAATTATCTCCCCGGAACGCTGAAGAAATATGGGATGGACTTCGAGACGCTTCATGAAATCAATCCAGGCCTCATATACGCCTCGATCACGGGATATGGCCAGACCGGGCCTTCCTCTCAGCGGGCCGGCTACGACGTCATGGTCGAAGCGGAATTCGGACTGATGCATATTACTGGTAACCGAGATGGACCACCAGTAAAGGTTGGTGTTGCGGTCACCGACTTGACGACGGGACTCTACACTAGTAATAGCATTATGGCTGCCCTGCTCTCCCGGGCAAAGACCGGTCGAGGTCAACACATCGATGTCGCACTGAGTGACTGCCAGACTGCCACGCTGGCAAATATTGCCAGCAGTTGTCTCATCAGCGGGAAGAAAGACTCGGGCCGATGGGGCACGGCTCATCGTAAGTTCAGAGTTATAGGAACCCCGCAACCCTTGCTAACAATTTCTTAGCATCGGTAGTTCCGTACAAGTCATTCAAAACTAAGGATGGCGATGTCTTATTCGGCGGTGGAAATGACAGGTTATTCGGTATTCTGTGCGATGGTCTTGGCCAGCCGGAATGGAAGACGGATCCAAAGTACAGCATCAATTCGCAGCGGGTAGCAAACCGTATAGAGCTCGAAGCCGAAATCGAGAAGATCAGCATCCAGAAGACGACACAAGAATGGCTGGAGATCTTTGAGGGCAAGGGCATGCCGTACGCCGCAGTAAACGACGTCCAGGGGGCGTTAAACCACGAACACACTAAAGCACGAAACATGGTAGTCGAAGTAGAACATGAGCAATGTGGTCCGATCAAGTTGGTGAATACGCCGGTAAAATATAGCGAGAGTAAGCCAAGGGTCCGAACCGCGCCGCCAACTTTAGGTCAACATACGGACGAAGTTCTCAAGGATATTCTTGGTTTCGAAGCTGGCGAGGTGGTTGCATTGAGAGAAAAGGGGGCTATCAGATAGAATATGCCAATATTTACTATTGAACTCCACGAATTTTACGAGTTCGAGTAGCAGTCTTCAGTAACAAATAGAAGTTGAATCAAAATACCTATCCTTGCCAAATGCTAGTATATACCTAGGAGCAGCGAGTTCAACGAGCCAATTAAAAGCTTGACCCGGCTTGGGCAGATCCTATTTTTACCATATCTATGCGAGTCGAATTTTAAAAAAAAATTATTTGCTTAATAATAAGATAAGTTGAAGCTATATAGACTTCTAATATTGGAATTTAAGGGATATGATTGGTTTAAAACAACCGCATAATTATAATGACGTTAAAATAATAAGTTTAATTTAAAAAATAACATTTGTTATAATAAACGCGTAATGCAGTATACGTATACTAATAATATAAACGCGTTGATTATGCTATTATATACGCGTGGTATCTTAAGCTTATATATTAGATACTTAAGTATGTACGTATTGAGGGTAAAGATAATCGTGTTTTCGAGACCACGATGATATTTTTGGTGTTGAGAAGGGGCTAGGTGGGTACCTATATATGCAGCCCCCCTTTCAACCAATCAGGTTGCGGGGAAATTTTTTACCCGAAGTTTAGCCGGTATCGCCCCCTGGGGGCCTCAGGCCAGTTTCACGATATAGCCAGGTAAGCCTCAATTTACGAATGAATTGGCTTGGCCTGATACGATCAAATATATACGATTATCGGGCTTGAATTGACTCGTTGAACTCGCTTACTAGGAGCTGAACAGATCCCGAATACACACGAAGGAGGTTTAAGACTTAGATGTACATGTATGTAAGGGTTGTAGTTCGTCTAAAAGAAAGTAGGATGGATTAAAACCATATAGGAATAGTTAATGCACCAAAACATAATAAGTAAAAGGCTAAAGTCAATCAACTAACCTTAAAGTGGCCTGACAACGCTGACAAGTGGTTGATGACTTTGGCAGGAGCTTCCGGGAAATCATACCATCACGTGAATATCACGTGCACAAGCCTCCACCCTATGAATTTCAATCTTTCATGAACCAATTTACCATCTTTACACCTTTTGATTAAGACTATTGGAAATTGATACAAATGCTACTGCCCAGGGCTTTTGCAGGAATTTAATTACGTCTGGATGCGGTTTTGTGGTAGGTGATACCCGCCAACCTCACCTGTCTATATAAACTGTCGACCACTAATGCGCCGACGCGACGGCAGTGTTCGCATGCCGTTGTATTCTTTAATGTACCTAATGTAACCGAGTAAAGTAGGGGGTGAATAATGGATTCGGAAAAGGATAAAGTCGGCGATGCCGTCGCAATATTGGCAGCGCCGGCAGCGCCGGCAGCTCTGGCAGCTACCAAAGATATGGCATCGTCGCAACCTCTAGAGCCGGTGCAGCCACCAGCCCCTAAAGCACCAAGCCCGGCACCAAGTACTACTAGTTCGACTGGTCGTCCACCTTACATGCCGCAGTTTTCAGCAGCAACGCAGATGATCCTCAAGCGAATAAATTCCAAGCCTGGAAGTCTGTCGTCGGCGCTCTCATCTGCCTCCTCAACGTTCCCTAGGAATAGCATTAAGGATTCCACTTTCGAGGATACTAAGAGACGTCTTGTTAAAACTATGAACACTTCTCTAACGATGCCTATGCCAACTATTACTCCCAAGCACGCTTCCTCTTCTTCCGCTACGAAGAAGACATCTGCAGGCACTACTATGCGCATGCCTATGAACGACGCCTTTCAGCTTAGAACGCCGGCACCAGCCAAGTACGGGTCTACAACCAAGGAGTCTCGGGGCCAAAAAGCAACAGCCCAAAAGTCGAAGGGGAAGTCGCAACGCGGAACTAAGCGCAAACGCGGTAAGGACGGCCACGACGATGAAGATACGTCCTCGAGCCTGAGCGAGCTATCCGATGACGAAAGCCCTACCAGCACCATTGCCGTCACAAATACTGCAAAGGAGAACCAAGCCATGCCGACTATGACGAAGTCTGGCCGCCAGGTGCAGAAGCCGGCGCAGTACAACCCCTCGCAACAGTCAGCCCGCGATGCCGCCACCCAAAAGCGCAAGAATTACGGCAAGCGTACTGCAGAGCAAGCGTTGTGCAAAGTGTGTACTCGAGGACTGAGCGTCCCCGCTAACCAGATCGTCTTCTGCGACGGCTGCAACCTTTGCTGGCACCAGATGTGCCACGAACCCTACATCGACGACGAATTCGTTAGCAACGAGTCGCGCTCCTGGTTCTGCGGTCGCTGCATGGCCAAACGCGAAAGGCATCTTGCCCGTAAGAAGAATATTGACGGCCTCAAAGGCGTAAGCTGGTCCAACAAGACCAATGAACAGGTAGGCTTTAGTTCTAATCCTATTGAACTCATCTGTGCACATATACATATTTTTTTCGTCGTTGAGAATACTAACGTCATCCCAGAAACGAACGTATCTCTCTAGTGTACCTCACGCGCAGCTTGTCAACCTCATCATGTACAGCACGGAACTGCATCCGGACTTGCCTATCTTCCCTCAGGAGACTAAACGCGGCGCTGCTCAAGCGGGGCGACCATCTCATGAGAGTCTACGGGCCAAAGCGGAGTCCAACATCAACGTCGGCCCTACCCACTACTCTAGCAAAATGTCAACACCTGACTCACAATCCGTGAACGTAAAGGCAAGTGCTAATAAGGGTACTACTACCGCCGAGAACCAAGACCAAGCAGCCAGAGAAGACTCGGCAGATTCCGTGCCTCCTGCCTGGCCGAAAGTCGGACGTGGTTGTCTGGCCGGTTTAGAGATTGACGAAGACGATCTGCGCGACGACAACGATTACGAAGCCTTCAGCGTTACGACCTACGATACTAAGGGTAAGAAGATCACGGAGAACGGCATGGCAGTCTGAGTTGTTGCCAACAACTCAGATCCAAAGATAAGCAAAAGAGACGATCAGGTTTTTATAGAGCTCATCCCTAAACTCCTACCTACAGACCAATCATAGAGAATGTGTCTCGAGCATAGGTAGGAAGAAATCACTGGGTTATAATTGTGTGTATACAATTCCCCTTTGTCGGGAGGGATCGTGAGTCTGTGGGCCTTAAGAAGGCGAAGTCGGCTAATGCTACCTGGGTATTATATCATGTATAGGGGTTAGCATCCTATTGTAGTGGCTATAGTTATAGCTACCTGGTCATAGCTAGTAGATACCATGTCAGCTGATTCAGTCTAGTTTGACAAGTTGATAATAATGACTCGTTCCTAATCCAGAAGATTTGTGTCTGGTGAAAGGGCAAGCTGCTCAACCCCTTTTCCTCAATTCCGTTGATGTTAAGTCGAGCAAAATAGAAGTATAACATTGAGCATGGGACATAATGAACGCATTTATTAATGTACATTGCCCAACGGGCGAAAAAAACACAGGAAGAGAAAATCTAGAAATAATAATAATTTTGAGATGCAAAAAGTACGACCACCACGGGACTCGAACCCGCAATCTTCACCATGTTCCAGAGTAACACCGGAAAGTGACGCGATACCATTTCGCCAGGCAGCCCTTCCAATCAAAACGTGATTGTGGGGGAGGTGGATTGTTGTTAACGCCGATGCTAAATCACATTAAGTAGATACGCTCAGCAGCCACCGCTAAGTTCTACCGGAATGTCTCATTTTTATTGGACGTAGCTAGCTATGCCGAGAATCTAAACGTACTGGGATATCTTGGTAACTTGAACTGAATAGCTGGAATTCTTTTGTCCGTATCACCTGTATAAAAAAGATCAATAGGACTACCCTGAAAGAATACTCCCCAAATATGAAGATCTAGACATAATAGTCTGCATATTGCTGCAAAGTGATCTTGATTCAACTACATAATCTACAAGAGCCCGGGTCCATTATACTACTATACTGGAAGCAACTAATCAAAGACGCGAATTACCAGACTGGACGATTCTATTTTGGGAATGAATAGTACTCTCTATAACTGATAGTTGATAGTAGCGAGTGTTTATAAGCCAAGCTGCATTAAAGATAACTCGGCTTGGGATTTTCTCCGCCGAGTAGTATTTGTTCAAAGAGTTCTTCGTAAATCCTTTCGTGTCTAAAGATATAGTCTCACTTTATGTCTATGTTCGATGATTCACTACGCTGTATCAGGCATTGATGCAAGTATCAGATCATATACACTGTTCCTTAGTTAACTATTGCCTAGCAACAAGTCGTGGCGCGATCGGTTCATTACTGAGGTATGAACGGCCTCTCTAAGGAACGACATAAAGCAGGCATATAAAACGCAATCCCCCGGCTGCTTTTCTCTTGCTCTAATATTAACCACATCGATATCATACATAGCAGAGCCCCAAACACGATACCATATAATACATCATGGCTTCATTCTGCTTCGGCAAACTGGACTCGGATATACGACATATCATCTGGGAACATGCATTGCTCCAGGCGTCCGCGGAGCGTATAGTGCTAATCGACAACCAGCCCGGCCACAAATTCTTTCCCCAATCCCCTCGAGTCATACCCTTCAGGTCCCTTGTTTCACCTATCATGGCTGTAAATAAGGAGAGTCGGTCCTGTGCCCGAGGCTTCTATGGTTTAGTGTTGCATGTGCTCTTATTGCCAAAACTTCCCAACTGTGCTTCCAACCGTGACGTCAAAGAACAGCAGAGAATTTTATATGACACTGGAGACCCCGATTTTTATTGGTATTCCGATTACATGAAGGGATACGTATACTTAAACCTTCGACATGATATATTCCTCTCTGGTTTCGGACTCACTGCCATAGACATCCCAGACCCTTTAAATCTGGTATGGTACCTATCACCGAGTTCTCCCTATTATATGGGGGCTATTCGAAATCGGGTCAGTCTTCAGGTTAGGCACTCCACAAGCAATATAATATTTGACTACCAGCACATTTAAAAGGCACTATCAATCTGGGCTCTAGCAGCTTGGTCCGATAACCCCTACTGCGACCTCTCCGATTCCCGTCCCCTGTCCAGCGAATCTGGATTATTTAACATGGAACAGAAGGAGCTTTACTGGGATCCACGAGTGTGCCTATGTGCCACGAGGTACTTCTACTGGCCTGACGTGACGTGGAGGGATATAGATAGCCTAATGCAACACCTCTTCAAGCGAGGCCCCGGCGAACCATTAAAACCCGAATACCAACTGCAGGAACTGATATCTATCAAGTTGAGAGAAGGTGTTACCTACAAGAACAAGTTCAGATGGCTAGGCATGAGTGAATATCTGATCGACCCCTCTCAAGAAAAAGAAGAGCAACATCCCCCTTGTCGCGACTAGAACTCCATCAACAGTAGTGATGCCTGGAAAAATGGATTTGTTGGTTAAGGAGATGACGGGTGATAAATCAAGCGAATCTGAGATCGTCATGATTCTATACCATAACCGGCGCGGTAATGATGCCGGGTGGCGAAAGGAGATACTTTCTCTTAGATAGCAGGCGGTGCTACGCACTCTTTACACCTATTCCCTTGTATAGGAAGTAATAATACGCACCATAGGCATTGTACACATCAATAAACATGATGCTATTTCCCAGGGAAATAGCATCAAGAAGTCGTGATAATCCGAGATGATTGATAGGGAGTTAATCTCGGATACGTTTGGCTCTCAAGGGTAAGCAGAGCGGTTGGGTATAGAGCCCATCCGTTCTCCCGCCACGTCTATTGCTCCGGACCGCCCGAATAACTTACGTGACTAGAACAGAAAACGAGAAAATAAGACAAGGAGTCTCGCCACATACTGATTTCTTTTCGGTTTGTAGTTCTTCAGGAACGTCCCTATGCTACTCGCGTGTAGCAAGATCACAGAACACTATCTACTGCTTTTCTTTCCGTTCCCAGAGATCTTATGCCTTCATTGTCAATCAATCCCTAAGAAAAAGCTCCGGTCCATAAACAATGCAGTTTTATGCAGCCTTACTCATGTTTCCCTGCCCTGTCGAGAATGAGATGCGATGAATTACTACCTCTAAGACTTTCTGCCCTAACGTTTCAGTACTAGACGGCAAGGGATATTGTGACTAGATGTAGTTCGGTAGATCCTTTCAGAAATACTATCACGCAAATACGGTCACTTCCGGCCACTTATCACGAGCGGCTGCCTTGAAAGAATCTGCTTCGCCACTGCGCCACTGCTTCAAGATGGCCAGAACTTCTTCCGCGTGCTCGTGATGGACATCTTTCAGGTTGAGTACTCCTGCGAGATCTTGCTCGACTTTCTTTTTGTCTTCCCCTATGAGTCTCTCTGCCTTGACAGCGGAGATGACGTGAGGTGGGCTATCCTTATGCTTCTCTTGGAAGCTGGCGTTGTATTTCTTCAGATCTGCTGTAGCGTCTGCGAGAGTGAATCCAGACTTCAACACTTCAGCTACTTTAGGGGGTAGTGATTCGAGCTTTGAATTTAGAGCTTGTCGGAATCTCACAACTTGCTCGTGAACTGTGGGGTGGTCCGCATCGAGGGCCAACGCAGCATTTAGGCATCGAAGGGCAAGGAGATATTTTTCTAGGAGATATTAGCATGTGGAACGTGTAAAAAATGTAGGGGAAAATGCATGTATAGGATTACCTCTCCTTACGAAGACTTCAAAGCCGGCGATTTGCCCATCGATGTACTTCGGACTGAATTGAAGTATAGGCGCGAGGAACTTCGTAGCCTCGGACAATGGTTCGGTAGTAGCTGCGAGTTTAAAACCGTTAGGGTCGTCGTCCTTTTTAACGGGCTCTGCTGCCGCCCCCTTTGACTTGTTGGGATCTTGCTTGGCGACTCGCTCAGCTGCTTCTCGTTCGGCCTTTTGTGCCTCCTTCTTAGCTTTCTTGGCTGCCTTTTTCCTCTCGGCAGCTTCGTCTCCGTTGGCACCGTCGGACCCGTTCACGCCATTCGTTGCCTGGCTACGGTCGTAAATACTTACGTAGATAGCTATAGCTCCGAGGGCGGCGCGGGTGTAGAATGGATGCTCGCGAAGATGGTCCTCCCACCTGATCATGTCTACATATGCGCGAATCTGCCCCTTCCTCAACGAAAAGCTATGGAAATCAAACTGATCTTCTTGCCACACATCAAATATGTTATAGACGGAGTGGAATCTCTTCAGTGCCAATCCTATGTTCCCATTGCGTACCCACGCCTCTCCATCTTCTGTCAGGTACCACACGCTTTGCATATCCAACAGATCGTGTAGAGGACCGCCTGGCGAATCGTTCCTCGTGAAGAGTCCCATCGTCTTGAGAGCAGTTTCGTTCTCATCGTTCCGCAGTTGGTATTTCGCCGCCTTGGTGTTTATGTAACGGTCTTTCAGGTCAAGTTTGCGAGCTTCATCCATGGTCTCGGAAGCCTTTCGAGTATTTCCGTAGTGCTTCCATATCCTGGCCTTTGTCATATGGAACTCGACGTTCTTGGGTAATAACTCGATTCCCTTATTGACGTACTCAGTTGCCTTTTCGAGATCGCGGCTTAGATGGTAGTTGTAGTGTTGGGCAAGGTAATATAATGCAGCCGGTTCTCCATTAAGCGAGTCGCCATCCGCTGGTGCACTTCCGTCTGAAGATGCTCGTTTTGAGTCGAGATATTCATGCGCTAGTGACCCAAGCGTATCTCTCTTGGACTGGTCGGCATAGAGGTGCTTGAGGTTTGCAAACGTTGAAGGAACTCCCTTATCTAACATCAGAGATAAATATCCGCGGGCCGCCTCCCGGAAGTCGTCGCCTAAACTTGTTATGAGCTTTTGGTCTACTAAAGATTCATATAATTGACGTGACTAACCGACGAGGAAGTTCAGGGGTAACCGCTTGGCAGCGCCGCAACGCGGATTTTTTTCGGCATATTCATCGTAAATCGCCTTTTGGGCAGCAGCATCGGCACCAATACCTAAGACCTCCACAAGCTTGGAATAGTATTCGGGATGCTCCGGGTTGCGATCGAGTAGGGCGCGGTAGGCATCGGCTGCCTCCTCCTTCTTGCCAAGTTTTGCCAGATATTCTGCACGAAGCTCTAATATCGCCAGGCGATCGAGGTTGCTCTTCGAAATGGACTCTAGGTGGTCTAAAGCTTTCTGATAGTCTTGCATCTCGCCTATGATAGAATTCTTATACATGACAGCCTCTGAATTTTCGTAATCCGTCTTAGACGGCTGGACTTTCAAAGAATCCTCGTAGGTCGTCAGTACCTTTTCGGCTTGAGAAAGATTACCAGCTAGGTGATGGGCAACTGCAAGCGCCGTCCAGTTCTGTCTTAGTTGAGGCCTAGCCTGGAGCATGGCAGTTCTACTTTGAATGTATCCTTGATAGTCGCGCATTTGAATCTGAAGGAAGGCGAGATCTCTCTGGATTTGGTGGGACTCGGGTTCTAACTTCAAAGCAAACTTATAGGCCTTGATAGCCTCCTCAAAGTTCTTCTGGTGGCGGTACAATAGCCCGTAAACGTGCCAACATATGTGCGACTTCATATCGGCCGTGAGAGCTTCCTTTCCTAATGCAAATGCCTCTTCGGTTTTCCCCTGCTGATTGATGATCAAAGCCTTCATTGCCATCGTGTCTCCGTGTTTAGGGTTCTTCTTGAGAATCTGCTCGGCAGCCTTTAACCCCCTCTTGTACTGCTTGTCCTCATAATTGCGAATGACTTGCCGAAAGAGAGAGTTCTCTTTCGAGCTAAGAGGTTGAGGCATGGTCGGTGTTAATACGAAGCTCCCCCGCCGTCAAACCCTCTGTTGAAAGAGATGAGCTTTCTCAGGAGTGTCGTTCAAGAGCCAGGCCCGGGAGTGTAAGGTGCCCTCCCGCTTAGCTGTCCAATGTAACTCGTGCGTAACGAGCTGATTCGCCGAATGCAGCTGGTGCAATAAATAATACCTCGTCGCTACTCCAGGCAGAGAACAAGTATTCGTGAATAAATGCTTATTTTCCTAACCTATGACGTTAAATACCAGTCGTAGGGACAAACTCGGGCGTGGGATTGTGTAATGTCGCCGATTTGTAAATGGGGGAATATTGAAGCTTAGAGCTCTGCGACTAGTAGCGGCAAGCACCACGCAGAAGTGGGATGTTTTACATAATCGTCCAGGCACTATTAAGAAAATTTAGAGCTATTATTTTACCGGCAATCACCCGAGTTAGATATTTAGTATTTAGTTATTTAGTTAAGCAGTTATATGTTCTTATAGGACATTTTAGGTACATGGTGCAGGTACATATTAATGTACCTAGGTACTTACAAAGTTCCAGCTCTAAGCTGTGGTCTTAAGAACACCTATTGAATACCTATGTTAGGTAGATTTTAACAAACTTGCCTAGGTATGCAGCAAGTCTACTATTACATTCAGTGGTGAGATTTATACAAAGACCTACCTACGTAGGCATATGCAACGTTATATAGCTATTTAATCTAGTCAATTAACTATAGGCTGCGGCGCTCTCTTCCTGTTCTCCAGCTGTTCAGAGCCTGTTCCGCGTCCTGGAAGCTATCACCGCAGCGCTCCCGCACCAAACCCCACGTTCGAGAACGGACGATATTTTCGACGCTTCTCTCTTGTCTCAGCAGGTTGGCTAGCATTTCCGTGCGAGGCTCTCGGGGGAAATACCGTCCGGAATATGGATCTAATCTCTCATCAACCACCCGTTCATGATTCCTCTCGGTCTCGGCTTCCCGTAGAGCTACTTCGGGATCATCTGGATCTGGACTGGTAGCAACGTAGGCGCAGTAAGTTAAAACATCAGACCTTGCTTGCCAGGAGGGGAATAAGACCTTGTCCTTGAACGCCTGACACGCCCGTGGATCGATAGGTCGACTAGAAGCTCGAGGTACCCGGACAGAGGTCGAAGAGGGGTCAAACCCCAACTGAGAAGGCGTTACGAGAGCATTGAGATTTTGGGTTATCGAGTCGTCTATCGCACTACGAGATATTCGGAGAAAGTCTTAGGAGAGGTAAGCGCTTGCGCTCAAAAGATATCTATCAACAGGAAGGGCGTACCTCTAAGGGCTACGGACGAGAAGCAGAATTGAGGCGTTAAATTAGGATGGTCAGAAGGCGCGGTCATGATATTGCGAGAAGTAGGATTTGAAGAATCGCTGGTCGCATCGGCGGCATCCGTCGTTGGGGCCGGTCTTCGAGACCAAAGTATTCCAGCCACGGTGAATTATTAGTTTTCAATCAACTTAATAGATGTAACTTAAAATGCCTTCTCTAAACTTTCTTCTCTTTTGACAATAGGCAAGAGTAACAGTAAGAACTATGAGGAAACTCGGCTTAGCTGTAGTTCGAAAATGATGACGGAACTCATAAATGATAACGGGCCAATAGCATAATATCCCGAGATACCCGAGATAGTAATATGCAATTATGGAAGTGTGCTAATAGATAAGAGATAAGACTTCGATCAATTCATCAGGTTGATTACGCGACACGCCTGCCTGGGGAAGCTATTGAAAGTTTCCACAAGTACCTTCCCGCAGTTGCTAGCCTTGTTAGGTACTTCGGAGTTGTAGCCAAAGCTTAACTGACTTGACCTCACTAGAGCTCCATTCATCACTTCAACACTTCAACACACATCAGCATTTCAAATCAAAACATCCCTCATATCCCCGTAACATCCACACAGCACGAACGCTGGTAAGGTTACGCATAGAAAACGGACTTCTTTTTCTACTTGGATTTATTTTTCTCCCCAAATTCCATTAACCTAACTATCTTAATCCGCCATGTCTAGCGCCCCAGATATGGAGGGCGTCGAGCGCCGAGGATCTGACGATGGCAAGGACAAGAAGGACGAAGGACGAGGTGACGGATCAAAAGAAGGAGGCAACAAAGTTAATCGCGATGGTGACTCCGAAATGAAAGATGCCGAGCCCGAAGAAGAGGAGATTCTAGACGAGGAAATCCTAAGTCTCGGTACGGAAGATCTCAAGACTCGGAAACGCCTATTAGAGAACGATGCTAGAATCATGAAGAGCGAATTCCAACGGTTATCGCACGAGAAAGCAACCATGGGCGAAAGGATCAAGGAGAACAACGAGAAGATCGCAAATAACCGGTTCGTCTACCCTGCGCATCTGCGCATTTATATATCTCTCTTACTAACTTGATAGGCAATTACCTTACCTCGTTGGCAATGTTGTTGAGCTTCTCGACCTCGATCCTACCGCCGAATCTTCCGAAGAGGGTGCCAATATCGATCTCGATGCCACAAGGGTAGGCAAGTCGGCCGTTATTAAAACTTCTACCAGACAGACTATCTTCTTACCCTTGATCGGTCTCGTCGATCCAGAGACCCTCAAGCCCGGCGACCTCATCGGTGTTAATAAAGATTCCTACCTAATCCTGGATACGTTACCTGCCGAGTATGATAGCCGTGTCAAGGCCATGGAGGTTGACGAGAAACCTACCGAAAAGTACAGCGACGTTGGTGGTTTGGATAAGCAAATAGAAGAACTCGTCGAGGCCATCGTCTGGCCGATGAAGGAGGCCGAGCGGTTCAAGAAAATCGGCATCAAGGCACCCAAAGGTTTGTTGTATAGTATTCTAAGCCTTGCGTACCTTGTTTCTCACAATATTATATAATAGGTGCCCTCATGTATGGACCTCCGGGAACCGGCAAGACCCTTTTAGCTCGGGCCTGCGCCGCCCAAACGGACGCCACATTCCTCAAATTAGCTGGTCCACAGCTAGTTCAGATGTTCATAGGAGATGGTGCCAAGCTAGTTCGAGATTGCTTCGCGTTGGCCAAGGAGAAGGCTCCCGCTATCATATTCATCGACGAGCTTGATGCCGTCGGTACGAAACGTTTTGATAGTGAGAAGAGCGGTGACCGAGAAGTTCAACGAACTATGCTCGAGTTGCTAAACCAGCTAGACGGTTTCGCATCAGATGACCGGATCAAGGTTTTGGCCGCCACCAATCGTGTTGATGTCCTCGACCCCGCTCTACTACGATCTGGGCGTCTAGATCGCAAGATAGAATTCCCTCTACCCAACGAAGAAGCTAGGGCACAGATCCTCAAGATTCACTCGCGCAAGATGAAGGTCGATACTAGCATCAACTGGAACGAACTGGCCCGAAGTACAGACGAATTTGGTGGCGCTATGCTGAAGGCGGTCTGTGTCGAGGCTGGTATGATCGCCCTACGGATGGGTAAAAACAAGATCAGCCACGAGCACTACGTGGATGCCATTGCTGAGGTGCAAGCCAAGAAGAAGGAGGTAAGTTCAAATGCTGTCTGCCTTGTGTTATTGTGGTTATGTGCTAACATTTTCTATAGACGGTCAATTTCTACGCATAGTTTTCTTCGATTGGAGCGAATGGTAGTCATAGAAGAAGCCTGTAATATAATCTCGGTACATCGCGAATCAAGAGCGGTTTGCCGGTACCATGTCCTTTTTGACCGCTATTTCTCAGTCTGGCCTTCTCGGCGTAGTGAACTCTCATGATACGTCCATTTCTCTTCCCTACCGTGTGGTCTGATTCCTAGGGCGCGTGTTGTTATGCTTGTAGGATGGTTAAGGTCAGTCTTTTGAATACTACACGGGTAAGTTAGAAGCCTACCTAAGGCAGGCTTCATACTGGTAGTTTAGTTGTCAGAATACTGCTAATTCGATAGCTAGCTTGGCTTATGTTCATCGCGTTCTACGGCTTCTCTTCTCGCCTAGCGTATGTAGAATCATAGCCCAAAATCTAAAAGGAGCTCTTCATAGTGCAAACGTAGAATATAACATGAAGTTTTTAGTTTAAACGAGTAAAACCATTCACCCGTCAAGTCCAGATTTCCTAGTTAAGTCATATTCTCCTTAAAAAGGGTATGCGAAAAATGATGCGATACTGTTGCAATCCTTACGATCGATGGCAACATTAGTATTATTACAGTTGTCAAATACTCCTCTCCTTTGAATAAAATCATTGACAACCTATGATTTCGTATAATGCCTTAAATAAAGTCTTCACGCCAAGACTCGACGTGTGATAGCTAAAGTCAATTACATCATTTGTTTGGCATCTGAAACGTTGGAAACAGGAAGCCCAACGCAATATTATAAGTTAAGGCAGGCCAAGATGTTCCATCCTCCGTTCCTAGTTCCTTGGACTGGTTCGTTTAGTGGCCAAATTGGGTTGTGTTGATCCCCTGTAGTATCTTATTCAATCGAAAACCTATTGATATGAAAGAGACATGGTTGAAAATGGTGGCTAAACATGGAATGACAACTCAATTCGACGGTGCGAGATGAAGTCACAAAACTAGCTGACCTCGGAAATATCTCCAATTCGGCACTCTACTGACGAGCACTGTATTACTGTTTACTATAACAAGCTATGATGTCTTGTTTCGTCAAATCTCACGTCGATTAATCCAGGTAATCAAGTTAAACATATGGAGACGGCTATATTGATCTTATTAAGGCGACAACGCAAATACGCTTAGAAGCTAGAATCAACTTATCGGCTAGTTAATTGGTAGTTAGTTAGGTATGTATATCTTCTTTCGAATACCAACTTTAGGTGTCTGGAACAGTTAAGAAATTAGTTCAGGGGCTTCTCAACTAAAACGACGACAAGAATGACGATTTCTACGAAGATATTCTTGAATTTGAATGTAACCCTATCAACTCAGCTAGCCCTAAATATCGATCTAAGGAATTGCCGAGTAGAATCGGTAGATGACGGAGTTGCCAAGACGGCTACCAGCCGCGCTTCGACGGTCGTCCAAGTCAGGTAAACACGTCGTTTGTATTACCCATCAAGCTACATATTGTAAGAAGGAAACAGAGATTATACAATAAAATCGGTATGTATTCACAATACCTGCTATGTCAGGTATCTATGTAAACAAGTTACAATTGAGTCTCTTAGTAACTATTGCCACCGTTAGTCTAGTTGGGTAGTGCATTGACGCACTCGTCCTAGGTTCAATTACTCGATATAGAAATGCCGTTGTCGATCCCTTTTACATCTTCCTTGATTTTTCGAGCTTGTCGTTCCCGTTCCTGGACCATGTACGCGGCCACGCTTCGTCTTTCCATTCGATCTTGATCCCTCTACCCCTGAAATCTCTAGCTAAGCTCCAGCTTCGAATTATGTTTAATTATGCTTCATGCGAATAGCTTAGGAGGGCCAGCTTCGGAGTATTTTGTTCGTCGGTTCAAGCTAATGACTGATACTGCAGTGGTTGCGGCTCTACAGGTCAAACTTGGTAATGATGAATGACTTTATTCGTCGACTTATGCTACGAATAGTAGTTCAACGCTTAGCTGAAGGCGATATTCAAGGTCTCTTCGCCTTGTTACTATTTTTCAACACGAGGTTTCCAGCAGTGACGATCTCCCCCGGATCTCCTGAATGGTGGCGGCAGCTCTCGAGGCTACATATCATGCACGTTGATGCAAGACCGTTAGATCTGTTTTCTAGAACTGTGGCGTTCTGTCATGATGTGTGCCACACGATACCACATCTCTCAAGGTTGGTAATTAGCGCTCAACACCTTGCCTTCAACCTCCTTGCAGCCGAGAGCCGTCTTATAAGTTCCCCTGTCCTTAGCCGCTACCAGTACCCCGTTGCTATGTATTCTCTCCGAAGAGCCCCCTGCAAATTACATGATAGGGCTGCTATAATCCATATTTTCCACGAAGTTTACTACATACCTATGTAGTTAGAGAGTAAGTTGTGGTAAAAATGCATTGCCATGATAATAACTTGGGTACCAAAGAGTTGGTATCGGGCATGGCTTCCATATATGGAACTGAGATTCGTTCTCATTCGTTAGTCAGTTGGGCTTGAAGCCTTTGTTTGATGTCACACCACTACACAATCACAATCATCCTATTTATGTCAGGATGATGATCACTAAGATATCAACTCGTTTCGTAATATGAGGCTATATCAGCCCATTTTAAGATCCACAAGCTTGCCAAATCTCTTTTGTATGCCGTAAATCCCAGAACCTGGTAGAGCCTAAGCTCTAGCAGGGCCATCTCGAAACAAGACCGAGATATGGGGCCGAGTATCTTCGTCATCGCATCTCTCGATGGCCACTGACGAAGGCCTAGGAGAACAGACAGCTCGGAGTCCAGAGAGGATAGGGGGTATGAAACGGACATCTATAAAAACTCGCGTCTCCTCGATAGTTTAGGAAATTCTTCAGATTATCACACAAAAACATTCACAAACCAACAACAACCAAGCCTCTTCCCAAAGACATATCACTCGCTATATTCTCTCGTTCAAAATTTACGACTCCAAAACAATCTACTTAGCCAAAATGCAGTTCTTCACCGCAGCTATCGCCACCATCTTCGCCGGCGTCGCCCTCGCCGCGCCTGCCGTCGAGCAGCGCCAGGTCTACATCCCCTGCACCGGCCTCTACGGCACCTCGCAGTGCTGCGCGACTGACGTCCTAGGCGTCGCCGACCTCGACTGCGCCAACCCATCTACCGTCCCCACCGACGCCAGCAACTTCAGCGCGGTCTGCGCAGCTGGTGGCCAGCGTGCCCGCTGCTGCGTCCTGCCTATCCTCGGACAGGATGTTCTCTGCCAGACCCCGGCTGGCGTTACCGTGTAAGCGAAAAACACAACCCGTACTCGTACTCGCCGTCTGTACCATATGACGTTCGGATTTACACCGGTTGGGCCGGACTATTAGGTCTAAGGGAAAGGTGTAATGTATAAATGTGTATCTGTATTATATTATATGATGGATACAGGAGTTTTGAGATAGAAACGAACGAAAATGTCTAGACATACACACAAGGGTTATAATATTAAGAAGTGATCCTCATTATTTACCAGTACTAAATATCAGTGACTCAAATAGCTTGATCTGCCTAAGCTTTAAAATTTACACGGTTTTTGCACTTTCCAGGAGGTTGATGACATTTTCTTGGATGTTCCATCATCTCTCTTCTATAGGCTCCTTGTTCGTTGTTCATTCTAGATTCTAAATGCTCAACATCTACCCTGATATTAACCTCGTGATCATCATATTCCCGGCAACATGGAGGAATCCACCAAATATCTCGATCTAGCTCTTGTTCTTCCAGTATCGTGCTCATGCTCGTACTGTCCCACCCTGCGGTCATCTGCATCCGTGGCTGAGTTTTCAGCTGTCGTCTAAGTAGAGGTAACACGTATTTTCGAATTAAGGGAAACAGAAGTGGGAGATTTGCCGTCACTATTGCCACAAAACATACCCGATATTCCCATTGACCTCCTTCTCTTATGTGTTCGTTCGCGCCCTTGATTGTTTGATATCCGCATAATATGGAAATTACAATAACGATGCCGTTCGCAGAGAATAGCAGGATAAGGCCCACCTTCTTCCATGTCTTGATATTAGCCATCCACAAGACTGGCAGTGGAACTATGAAAACGTAGATACTAGTAATTATGTTGACACAAAGAGAGCTAATTAAGCTAGTCAGCGAAGTAGACGGATAGCATGCCCCTGTACGCTGTTAGTCTCGAGTGAGACGGGTAAAAGTAATCTAAGAAAGAATGTACCTCCTGGGTTGGGATATATCTGCCAGTACCTATAAATCGGCCTACAGGAAAGTAATGTGATAAGAAGGTTGAACAACCAAGTCACGCCGAGAAAGGCAACCCCAACCCATATCCGTTTTTGGTACAATCCAAGGCGCTCCTGAGAATGTTGTTAGACTTATATTTAAATAAGGACAATCCAAAGACGCCGGGGAGATTCCTTACAGTAAGACGTAGATAGAATGCCAGCATCGACACTTTCGTCAGCCAGAGGACGGTCATGTACAAGATTCTATCGACAAGGCTAAGCTTAAACCCAAGGACCCTAGTTTAAATTAGTACATTCTATAATGAATTAGGAACCCCCATAGGATACGTAGAATTTAGATAGATTAGGTACCTACCTGTGTGAATATTCATCGCTTTCGGGATCCAGCGATATGCGCTCTTCATCCGTCATATAGCTATTAGCCAAATCATGGCATTGAACTACTGAAAAGTACATAGTAGATATTGCAGCCGAATATGTAAACTTGTTCAAGTATTAGTGACGCACCATGCCTCAACCACATTCTGGATGATTATCCTTACCGCTACCAAAATCATAATATGGTCATGAACTGCAAGGTTTTTCCATCCGACAGCCTCTATCCGCACGAAAAACCGGAGAGCAATGGAAATCAAGCTGATGCTTAGAAGGATAAGACCTTCGATCTCTGGCGATTTGACAGTCATAGGGGAGTAGTTCGTGTAACCAAGAAGGTATCAAATTGGGGACTGTATATGGTAAGGATGGCGGAAAGTCATCATAATAACTGACAAATTCAGATAACGACGAAATGGGTACATTATATCCAGGTAGACATAACACATTGATAATACGTCGACATGATCTATACTACTATGTCAGAGCAAGAGATGCGGTGATATTAGGATCTATATGAGATCATCCAAGCCTTGACTCCCGTAAGGTATCTGTCAAAGACCCAAGCCTCGACCATCTACGTATGTCAGGCCGGAGATTAAGCCGTAAGCCGGAAACCAATAGTTCCAGAAGAAATTGAACATAAGCCTATTTAACAGCCTAACGATAGTTCCCGGCAACATAGAGCATTAAACCCGGTAACTAAAAGGAAAAGGGGAGAGACATTACTGATTCATGGGCTGAGTTGCCGAATTGAAGAATAGAAGAATAGCGTAGTATATACCGCTGCTACTATCTCATAACTATTAGTTGAAACGTAGGTAGGCACCTACACCCCCATATGATAATGTTTACCAACCGGCGCTTTCCGCGATGACACTGCCAAGGAGTCGAGTACAAGTCATGGCTCTATTAGACGCCCAATGACCACAGTAGAGCTGATGGCTTATCAATCTTTCAGCTAACTATCTGGCATCTGCTTGTTCTATAGAGAAAGAAAAGGAGGGGACACAACCCGAATGCCGTCTTGGAAAAAGTTCTCAAAGGTAGAACGTGAACGTGGTGATCAATAGGGGAGACACTTCCGGAACGTATGCTCCTGGTTAATGATATCTGCTACTTGTATATGTATCCGCTTAATTATCTTGGGTACCTGAAGGTTACTGACAGGCGGGACCTTCTATCTCGATAACCTAACCCTTTTAATTTAGAGGTAGATCACATTACCGGGACCCACGATTCTAGCTAGTCATATAAAAGTTTATTATCTCTCTAGTATTAGACGTGCGGACGCGGACGCGGACTTTTGGAGAGGTAGGTCCATATTCCAAAAGGAATGTGCAATGAGGAACCATACAGCTACACCAGCTTTAGGGACCAGGGCTCAGTCGTCGACATCGATCCCGATATAAATTCCGTCATGATGAAGTTGTTACGAGGTGGAACTGAACAGTAGGGAAGCAACTTTGTTGTTCCACAAGGAATTCTAATCTAGTCTATGTCTATACATACCTCTGAACATGTTCTTTGTTCTACATGTCCCGTTTAGAATCATGGCAGAAGCAGCCTCTACTTCTAAACTTTCCGTCCACTTTTCATGTTTGATTTGCATTAATAGAGACTAAACCAAGATAGGCACGTTGTAATTCGGGATCATATAGGACGGGCTACTGGCATGACATTAATGTAACTATTACCATGTGCCAAGTAATCCTATATACAGGCCCAGCCACTACACTAGTCAACCGCCTGAATGCATCAGCCGCGAGTAATGTTAGTCGAAATCAAATTATATTTTGAGATACAAAGGTGGCGTCAGGATTCTAGATAAGATATCTAGAACGAAGGACATGTTCAGTATGTATAGACTTAGACTCTCGTAGATAAACTAGAGTTCTTTGCGCAACAACGAAGTTGCTTCCCTACTGTTTAGTTCCTCCTCGTGACAGGTGGTAAGTTAACGATTTCATATTGAAAATACGCCTAGGGATTATAGCAAAGTTGCCCCTATTCTATTTTGCCGTCCCAAGACCTCATATACACTCATTAAGTAGTGAGCCACGAACAAAAGCTCGCCCACTCACAGAGGATGCTTAGTTATATCACCTGTTCCCCTGCTCTGAACTAGACCATAACCACAGCAGCTAACCCAACGGCAAAAGCCACCGCGGGTGCCGCTGTGATCCTCGGTCCTGCCCCGGCGGATCCGGACGAGCCTCCCGGGCCTCCTGAACCCCCTGAACTGCCACCGGACATCGATGAGCTATCGCTGTTGGATGTAGAGCTGGGGTTAGAGCTGCTGCCAGAGGAATCGCTAGACGTAATGATGCCCATGCCAGTCGAAGAAGAGGCGCCCATGTCTGATGACATGGAGTTTGATGATGACATCATGTCTGATGAAGACATCGAAGACATCGAAGACATTGAGGACATTGAGGACATTGAGGATGATGAAGCCGAGTCGGTTGACGACGAAGCAGAGGAATCGGTAGACGAAGTAGATGAAGAGTCGGTTGATGAGCCACCAGTAGGGTTATCAGTAATGGTAATCGTAGTGTCCTGCCGGATGACGATGTGATTAATGTCAACCACCGGCTCCGCAGCAGCAGCAAGACCCGTCGACGACATGGTCCCGAGGGCCGCGAGGAAGAGCAAGTTTCTGTGCATAATGTATTCTGGTGAAATTCCAAACAAACGGAAAGCCTAGGTAGGTAGGTAGTGTGTCTAACTGTCCTCACGTAGCTTGACGATTTTTAGAATATATTCGATCTCTAGACGACCATTAATTAGGAGTATCTAGGGAGGCGGTATAGGCTCTCGCCCACTTGGTTTTAAGAAACACCTCTCTATGACTCCACGTGTGGCGTTTAGATGACGAAATCATGTCGGCGTGTATATGATGAGAATATGACAGGAGTCTGGAGAGCCGCTTCTAACTATTTAGTGGCCCTCTAGTGCACCTTGTCAATGTCATCACGACTACCGCAAGGCTTGTACTTGTTCGAGGTGTCTGCAGCTACGTTATTTCCGAAATTGGCCACCAGATCATATGATATCGTAGTAGAGATCGTCCACGTGTAAGTCTAAATAAAGACGCGGGGATTAACTTGCACATCGAATTTCGAATTTGTATGATCACTCTGTCCTGTCCATTATATCCGTCTAAATGCATGCTTGAACGCGAATGACTCTTCCAGATAGTCTTCAATAACCGATTATCCCTCATACGTTGCAACATGTCTGGATGTCTTATCAATGCTTTCCAACTGGACGTGAAGATAAATGCTCATATCTACCTAATTTACGAGCATCAAAGTTTCCCTCCATCGGCTCGTCATGTTGATGGACGGATCGAGTCTAATATATGTAGTCCCGCCCTCCGTACCGACAAGGGCGGCAAGGCCAATTATCAGCCTCACGGCACAGACACGCGTAAGTGGTGTATACTCGAGCTTTTTAGGTAACAATACCGCGTAAAATACCTGAGAGAATTCTTAATCCCTCTCTTACGGTTACATAAAGCTTGACCTATGTATATGACATCAATCGGGGTCACCGTCGCGTGAATATCCAGACGTGGACTTCAAACGGCATATTGCCATCGCCCCGGCATGCTCGTCTCCCCATTGGACAGTTCTTTTTCAGCTCCGGGCAAGGAATATTAATTCCCAACCCCTGAATAATGCACAATTAATATTGCCTGATCAGGAATGTTCGGGTCTAACGTAGCATCGAGGCAACGCTGTCGTTTCGTCGGTTTTACTTTGCTGACAGTGACTGACTGACTGACTGACTGCCCGCCAAGCAGCCAAGCAGCCAAGCAGCCAAGCTATGATGCCCCCAGAAGATCTCGATATCTGCTTTAGGTCTAGTACATACATATATGGAGTACTATAGCGTACTGTACTTGTACGGTGTTGTATTTCTGCAGGGATCTCAGAACTCTATGTAATGGAGTTATGTATAAAGTCGTTTTCCTCCGTAGTGTAGAACAAGTTGTCAATCCGGCAGGTGATGGATAAGCCCGATGATTTGTCCGTAATATGTAGTCCGTAATTTGGAGTTGGCTACTTGGTACATTAGGCAGTAGTAAAAGAAGCCTCGCTCTTCTCTTAGCGTTTCGCGTAAGAATATATTTAATTGCCCAGGATCCTCACGTTCTAGCGTTGGCTATTAAGAATCTTACGTGGTACCTAGATGGATCGAAGCCGGCATAATAAAGGGGATTGTGGCTTACTCCGAGACAGGCACCCAGACATCTGTGTAATCTCTACGAGACTGGTGGACAGAAAGAGCCCTATCTTGCGAAAAGGTATCGTGACATGGTAACATGGTAGTAGTACGGTTCACACATCGCAATCCGACCCCAGCCCACATGGCCAACAAGCTATGTACTATGTAGTAGCCGTGAACCCCACAAGTGGGTAGAGTCCTAATCCATCAACCAGCCTACTTCGTATATGTACAGTACAAATAGACGCCAGGCGCTTATTTACCTGATATTCTTGACCTTGGCTGTTCGTTGGTTAAACAAGATAGCGCTCAATGATTCTGTCAGTTGATGGAATTTAGAACTATAAAAACTCGCTTCGTTTTAAGATCTTTGATTATTTGAATAAACGCCATGTGTGTTACATTAAGTCTTTTACAACCCCCCATCTTTTATCTAAGGGACGACTTTAGGTAGCATCTAGGAGGTAGGTAAGTACCTAAGCTAACCTATCATTACCTACAACATGAGAGACCCCCCCAAAAAATCAGGTCATAAAATAAATAACAAATAACATAGTAGGTACGTGGTAGAATTTCCTCGGAATAATTGCCATTACTGTGATATTTTGTTATATCAGAAACCCGTCCAACTAAATGGTATCAATGGCCGCTCATTGCCTATCCTAAAATCCGACACGCGTATTTATGCACAGATCGCATGAAACTCCAGGGTGAAAAAGAAGAGAATTCTTAGAATATTAGAATGATGTAACGCAGATTTTCGGTGTCAGATAGATTTTATGCATAAGGCTATTTCCCGCTTTCTCGACTTTTACCCCCTGCAAGATGAGACCATAATCATATTTGCCCATGTTGTCCCTGTGTAGGTGATTGGTTCGTGCCATTTCCTGGTGAATGTGGCGATTGTGGTGGTACATGGTTTTGAAGTGGTGATACCTGACCGTGAACTTGAGACCCATCAAGTAACTGTGGGATGTACGCCGTTGACCCAGGTAGTTCTGTTGGCCTATTGTCGATAGTAGGTAATTCGGTGCTGTACGGCTGCCCGTATGGTTGCAAATATTGTTGAGGGTACTGCTGGGGATATAATTGGGGAGGATATTGTTGCGGGTATTGCTGGGAGTACTGCTGATTATACATCGCCATATTCGGCGGTTGCCCCGGAGCGACTGCAGACATCTCTGAGATGCCCGGTGAGCTGGGATTTTTGACAGGCGCGTAGTATCCTTGCTCGGGGTTATCATGAGCCGTATATGTTGCATTAGGGGCCGGGTTTTCGGGCGCAGGTGCCTTGCGACGGCGTGCGAAAAAGAAGACAAGAGCAGCGATCAGTACTAGACCTGCGACACCAACACACACCCCGATGGCAGCCTTGGCTCCTGTCGAAAGACCAGCCACTGGGGCAGCAGTTTCTTGGGCGGCCGCGTTAGTTGCGGTAGGAGGGCTCACAGTAGCCGAGCTTTCTACGTCGCTAGGTTTAAGAGCCGTCCAGGATCCAGACCATGATTCTTTCCAGTCGTTTGAGCTAGCCTTGATTGAACCGCCGTCTGCAAGCTCAACAACGGAGGGAGCTGGTATGTTAGGGCCAGGTGCTTGAGCAAGCCACCACGATTTGGTACCCCAATTTGCACCGATAAACGCATCCTGGAGAAAAGCACGGCCAAGAGTGTAGGTCTTAGCAGGGCCCGTATAACACGGGAAATACTGCGTTGGTTTGTCGATCAATGGTGCTGTCAGCGTGAGATTTAAATGCCGAAAGGGAACAGAGATGGAAACGTTCTTCGTGTTCGAGTCGCCTATAAAAACGAACTCCAAGACAGAGGCCGAGTTGACAATTTGCGTATATTTCGGCTCGTCGGTTTTCCAGAAATATAAGCCGAGGTCCTCATTATAAGTTACAGGTAGATTCTTCGTAATAGCATCGCATGTCGACTTGGGGAGTGATAGGTAAGGAGAACAACCATCGACAGAGACTTGGACACCTCCGGAAGTGATGGACGAGTTGTCGGCTGCGAGAAGGCCACCCAAAGATTCAAACTTCCACGGCGAAGACCCATCTATTACTTTGATGCTGATGTCTTTTAGGGTGATATCTTTTGTATAGTCATCCGAATACGTAAGAAGATCTCCCACGATTCGGTTCTGATCGTAACCGCCAAAGTAAAACGATCCCGGCATCCGGGGGTTTACGGATCCCATATGCATGCCGAAAGAGTTGGATGCGGTTGTCTTATGTGACCATAAGTATCCAGGAACGAGACTAGCATTGATAAGCGGCCCATAGCTGTTGGAGAAAGATTGGTTGACGGTTGCTGGAGCCCCTATCCCCAAGCAGCCTACGGTCAAAGGATACCATTGACCATTTGGATAAGCCATATATGACTCGCTCAACAGAGACAGCGAGACGTTCTCTATTGTCGTGCCTCCAAATTCCATCCTATCGACCCATGACTTCGTCATTTTGCCAAGCACTTCCACACCTAGCATGTAGTCTGGATTTGACTGGTATTGAATCGAACCCGTTGATCCCGTAGTGTCCACCTGCGACTGAGCATCGTTGTAGAGTCCAGCTTGGTTAGCATAACACGGAATCGTCGTATTTTGGTTACAGTAATCGCTTGTCAGGAGGAAGGTTTGAAATTCACGCCCTGGGTACATCGATATCTTCTGATCGCTACCCATTGTCACCTCAATCGCCGGCCAAGGACCGTCAGGTCCAAACGTCGAGCTAGACCATTTCGCCGCGATAGGCTTTGTGTCTGCCTCGACAAGTCTGAAGACCGCCAGATAGAAAAGAAATGATATAGGTAAAGACCGTGTAGAGGCCATGGCTAGAAGCACGCAAAAGCGCGGTATAGACGACGCACTATTTTGCAGCTTAGTCCAAGACGACACTCGAAGTCTCCATCAAAGAAAGTAATTAAGAAAGACTGATATTAAAGAAGGAATGTGAGTAAAGAGCGGATGGGATGGGAATCATCACTATACCAGCCTCAGGAACGCTCGACTGGGTACAAAGTCCGCCTTGTATGGTTCATACGAGAAGTACAGTACATGTATTGTAGCAGGTATACTCTACCGAGTATAGGATTGATCCATTGGGCGCTTACGGAAAGCTGGCGCTAAGACATCTAGGCTAAGAAAAGTCCTACCCAGGAATATTCAAGCAGACGGGGAGATGAGGCTGTAGATCGTGAGACTTGCCAGGGTTGGGTTCCACTATTTTTATATAGTAGGAAAGCTTCGAAGGAGCTGGATGCTGGAGACCTCGGGCCGAACTTAGTTAAGAGCTACATCAGCTTTCCGGTTGATGGAATCAGCCAGCAGTCTGCGCCCCATTGTTGCTGTGGAAGGGTCCGAATTTAAGCATTGCACATGGGGTAGCCCCTGGGATTTTCTCATCTTAAGAATTAAGATTCCAAGGCTGAGGTGGGAGAGATAAGGTTGATGCCGCGGAGCCACTCTGTGATCTGTACTATATGGTTGTTCGACTCTGGGCGGTTATAATATAAGTTGGTGATATTTAATTAATAGACCAGCTCAGTAGCGAAGAAGAACTAGCCTATGACGCTATCTTCTATGTCGTCTCTGTCCTATGTATATCATATAGGTTCAGTAGAATCTCAAGTATTGTATGGTAGGCTTTGACCTTTTCGGGGGCTAAAAATATACCAGGCTGAAAATACCCACCATCTGCTGCGTTAACGATACCGACCATCCCCACCATGAATAATACCCCATGAAGCTTACTGAGAATGTTATTGGTCGTGGAGCTCATGTATATGAGACCATGGTAACAACACATATCCCCTACATACATACATAGAGACGTGCTATCATATGCCATCGTAGTGTGATTGGTAGCTTCGTAACTTGACAGCTTGACAGCCTGGTTTAGGTAGTTAGGTGCTAGACGAGCAACGATTAACCGAAGGGTCCGTCGAGGACTCGGAGCCGATCATCTAATACATAGCAGAAGAAGCTCAACGAGCATAGTGCGACGCTCCCAGGTTTCATATTATGAGTCTCAAGCTCCAGGCGAATTCTGCAGAATGCACCTTGGATTAGCTGTCGCCCTTATAGGCGAATCCTTGCAGCGGATGAGACTCTATTGTAGAATATATTTGTGGCCATCGACGCCCTCGAAAATGGGATCGTATCAAGTTGATGATCACGAGTATTCTTTCAGCCAATTAAAAGCTACCTATGATAGAAAAACTAGAATGCCAAGGTATAACCCGCGCAAACGAGTCATGATGTTAAGTAGAAAATACTTGGGGCCGCTGTTGTGCAATCCGCGTTTGTGTTGTACAATACCAAACCTCAATAGAGAACCTTAGAGATATGAGGTACTTGATGTATGTATTGTACAGTAAAGATTAGAGAATCAAAGACTGTGTGGGCACGACTACCTAATCTTAGCCCCAACTATCTTAGCGCCAATATTAAGATCACCTATCTCTTTAACGGAATAGAGAATCGGCCCCTACTGAATAAAGAAAGAGCAGCAGAGCAGTTTACGTATGCGGTAAAGTACCTAAGCCACGTGTAGGCAGTAGTCATGTACTTTTTTTTTGTATTGTAGTGTGCTTTTTTATAGTGCACTTTTGTACCTACCTACCTAAGTGGCGCCTTTAATGCGATTGCCCATCGCCTTTACTATGTAATCCTCGATAATCTTGATTCAGCCTGTTCGGAAATCCAGGTCGCAAACATCACCATCAATTCCCCCCCAGTCCATCTACATTACGGCATACTGTGAGTAGATAGCTGGATATTGTTTTGATGTCAAATTACATAGCAAATGCCTATTAACTTATCCACTCCTATTTTCTACTTACAAAGTACCTTGTTTCCTCGATGAGTGCTGTTTCATTGCTTGCCTGTTGGTATTGATTCCTTTCTCGGTGAATCCTTAGTGATTCGACATCCTCCTTCGTCCGCCGCCCAATCTTAACCTCCGTCTTTGAACAACACCCTCTCAATATGGCTCCGCTTTGGGGCTCCTCGTGGTCTTCTACATGGGGTTCTCTATCTGGATATAGCGCCGTTCAGAATGGCGAACAGAACACAATCGCAGGCTCTGCTACCGATTCCCATCTTAAACCTAGCATCGGCCAGATTTTGAGTTCGAAGCGAGTGCGCTACGCCACCTTTTCCCTCGCTGCCGTCGGCATATTCCTACTTGGCTTCCGAAACTACGATCGTCTCCCATCTATCGAGAGTTTACGAAGCAGTGGTGCTACCGCCGTCGCCGGTTCCAATTCGATTTGTCCTCCTGCGGTTGTGCCGGCATTCGAAGATGCGCAAGTCAACTGGTCGCAATTTGCGTACACTCAATATGTCACCAACGCTGCATATCTATGCAACTCGGTCATGATATTCGAGACTTTATTCCGTCTCGGTAGCAAGGCTGATCGCGTCATGATGTATCCCGAAAACATGATGGACGCCGGCGAGACGAACCCAACTTCAGAAGAGGCCAAGTTGCTCACCAAGGCCCGGGACGAGTACAAGGTTAAGCTGGTGCCTGTAGAAATTAAACGACGAGCTGGAGGTGATGGTAAGCACGTCCATGTCTGTTCTCAATTTTATTTCCGCATTCTCTAATACTGTTTCAAGCTACCTGGGCCGAATCTTTCACCAAGCTTCTTGCATTTAATCAAACTCAATACACCCGCGTCTTAAACGTCGACTCGGATTCAACTATTCTCCAGACCATGGACGAGTTATTCCTTATGCCACCGTGCCCTGTTGCTATGCCTCGTGCCTATTGGCTATTTCCGGATAACAAGATCTTATCGTCTCAGTTGATGTTAGTGAAGCCCAGCGCGGTTGAGTTTAACAGGATCATGCAGAAGATGGAATCTGCCGGGCGCAACGATTACGATATGGAAATTGTGAACCAGCTCTATGCAGATAGTGCTATGATTCTCCCGCATCGTCCTTATGATTTGTTAACGGGTGAGTTCCGTGGGGACAATCACCAGAACTATTTGGGCACAGACCAGGAAGAATGGGATCCTGTTGCCATTTATAACGAAGCCAAGTTCCTTCACTTCTCCGACTGGCCCGTGCCAAAGCCGTGGATCCCGATGACCGACTCGATGCGACAAGACAAGCAGCCTAAATGTGTGACAAAGAACGGCCAAGAGGACTGTTCAGCCAGGGAATTGTGGAACGGGTTTTATAATGATTTCACGGAGCGGCGTGCGGTAAGTGCTGATCCTATAAATCGCGAAATTTGTAGACACTAACATCTGCATTAGAGGGTTTGCAACGCCGGAAGGAAAGCTAGGCGATAAACCAGGAATGTCGAGTGTTCCGTTTGGGTCCTTGGTTTCTGTTCTAATAATGAATAACTCGAGTTGTATTTTATGTGGCATGACATGTTATAGATACCAGCATTGAATAACTGAAGCGCTTTTATTCCTTTTGCAAAAGTTGACATTACAACAGGTCTATTTAGATGTTACCTGTTTAACGAAATATGCTCAACATTGGCAAGTGTTGCTACTGAAGGCTCAGGGGAAATGCTGTAAGTACCTAAGGTGTTACCTATTGTATTATAATAGTCAAAGCTCGGGTGAACAATAAGAGTTTCATTTGGCATTTACTAATAGGACAGTAATTGTTCACCACTTTCAAGGTGGTCTTCCAACACAATTCTACTGCTTACATGCTATATTTTGATTAAAAAAAGGAAATACGAAAATGGAGGGAGGAGAGGCGATGCTGCAACCCGTCCCGCGAAATGGATATCATTCTTATATGTTGCACAACTTATCTTGCAAGCAAACCTATTCCCCCTTTTCAGTATCACTTCAATATCTCTTTGCGTATGCACAGTTTTATGAGTTTTCATTTCCTACAGAGGGACAATTGCTAAGAAGTCGACAGGAAAGATTAAAGTAACGAATCATATACTGGTGACTATCCCCTGTTTTAAGTGTCTTTATAAACATGGTTGTTATTCATGCCGAGCTATACTAACTCAAGTCTAAGCTTCGTATTAATATCTTGGTATAGCTACCTACCTAACCTAACCTAGGTAACTAACTTAAAAACTACGTAAGCCATTCGTACTTGCACGTGGTATTGGATAATTGGATATTATGTAATTCATACAACCCGAGAAAAATAAAAACTTTTCAAAGATAACATCTTTTTGATTCCATTTCCTTCACTCCCTAACCTAAATCAATTGTCAAACGATAGCTGAAAGAAGCTTACCTGTGAGGGATATATGTATCATCTCTTCAAACTCCCCACGCCGAAACGGCCAGTGGGGTTGATTTGCTATCAAGAGTACCTATCAGAAGCCTTAAAAATGATCACTATACGGAACTTGGCCATCGGCAAATCCGAATTCGCGGTACCTATCGGTAGATCGGTAGGCCGCATACGGTTATGAGTTGCGCTTAGCTATAATCGTAATAGTAGGATAGTATGTTGGTGCGCTATATTTCTACAAATGAGCGGAATGGAGACGCCGTGATTCGCCCATGTCGACAATTTGTTACATCGATATCTAACAGCCGGCCAAGAACTGGGCGAGCCAGGATGTCGGATTCAGGGTCCCCCTCGTCTAGTTTACAGTAGGCTGAGCATCAACTTGAATGGCTAGAAATACCAGGATAGAGCCCCAAACATGAGGGGGAGAATAAATATGTACAAGGGTTGAAGAAAAGGAAGGTGAGCACATGAAATATGCCGTCATGGCAGAACCAACTTCAATCTAATTAATTTCTTCCTTTGCGCAACATACCTACATACATACATACCTACCTACATAGTGCATCTCATCAACACCCCTTACCTTTGTGACGATATCCTGGGTTATGAGGACCTGTGTTTGTATGCATGTCATCTCACGGTCTAGTCCGGTTTCGTCCATCTCACGCTTTTCGATCTTCGGTATTCACGCTGCAGTTCTTTAGTCCATGTTCAAGCGCTCTCGGGTGCGTCTCGACAGTCGGTGATGGCCATCGATGCCGAGGAGCTTCTTATTCAACCTTTCCGAGAAGTTGCAGAGCGGGGCAAGGAAGCTGTCGCTAATGCCGAGGCAGCGGCCGCGGCCGCGGCCGGCAGCTGTGACGATGAAGACGAAGACGGCACCGATCCGTCGAACGGACAAAATGTTGCGGATATGCTCAAAGCAGCACGCTCTCTAGTTAAAGAAGGGGAGCGCGCCCTGCAGAGA